TTACTTCCAAAAGAAACAGGCGGAGCACAGCCTCAGACCTATCTCGTCAGCTCTCTTCAGCCACTGGTACGATAATTTCAAGGCAGACCATGTACAGACGCTTAGGGCAGATTGGTCCATATTCGTAGACCTGTCAGATGCGTCCAACTTACTGCCAACTCACTGTCGGCTGCAGTAAGCCTGAAGTAGAGAGCATGCATTGTGGCACCGCAACAGTGGGCTTGTGTGATGTTTTCCGACGAGTCTAGGTTTAGCTTGCAGTCTGATTCTCGCCGGACTTTCATATGGAGAGCTCCAGGTACCCGTTACCACCCGGAAAAACATCATTGAACGCACCGTTACGGTGGTGCAGGAGTGCTCGTTTGGGGTGGAATTATTCTGGGTTCTAGAACTGACCTGCATGTTCAAATTGGAACCATGACAAGCCAAATCTATAGGGACGTCAATGGAACAACATGTACGTTTGTTTCGGGGGCGCCATGCGAGCACAATTTGTGTTTATGGATGAACACTTCCGTTCTCACCGTGCAAACATCGTAAGCGAATGCCTTCAATCGGAGGATATCACCCGTATGGACTGGCCAGCATTCTCACCGGACTTAAATCCAGTAGAGTACGTGTGGGACATGCTTGGCCGACGATTTGCAGCCCGTCAACCTCCTCCTAGATGTCTACCGGAACTTCGGAGAGCATTGCTTTTTGAGTGGTGTAATATCCTCCAAGATCAGATCGATAATTTGATACTCAGCATGCCTAGATGTTGTACGGACTGTATTGCATCGTCTGGGAGACATATAATGCATTGCTAATTATACCAACCATGTAATATTGTTTTTTTGTAAAATAGGTTTTTTTTTTTTTTTTTTTTTTTTTTGTAATTTGCTCCAGGGAGAGAAAATCGCTAATTTTTTAATAATATCAAAAGTAGCATCTTTTTTGCTCTTACCTTTTGTTTAAAATAAATAAACTTACAAATAAGTCAAATTTGTAATGCTTCTAACTCTTCCTTTGCCTGATTTTGCATTATCCTTAATTTATGGACATGAGTGTATTAAGTACATTATTCCCGATTCCAAAATTTCGTCAGAAGCTATTTCTACTGTTCCCATCATCGTACGACTTTAATCATCCGAGATATTAATTAAAAACTCTGAAAACACTAATTTTCGCACTTGTTTCTCCGAGTGAAAACAGCCTAACGCTTTAGAGATAAAAATGCTTTATTTCGAAAAGTTTTGCTACTGCTCGCTTTAGTCAAAAACTTATACAAGTTTTAAAGAATCTATATATATAAATAAGAATGTTTGTATGTTTGTTCGCGTTACTGATTTCTGATCATTATAATCAATTTTGCCACATTTAATCTACTAAAATTGGATATAGGTAAAATATTGGATGGAACTTGAGCTTTTACGACCATTTGATTAGAAAGACGAAAATCATTAAAATCTGCGTGCCATTGTTGCTGATATAATAAAAGAGAATTAGTGCATTTTTTCTATCGAAAATTTTTAAGTGTATTCCATATGCATACTGACAAATGTGTGACTATGAATCGTATTTTTTTTTGCATCGTTATTACAGATTACAGGGATATCGTTCTCTCGTTGTTAAAAGCATTACTGAAGCTAACTTGACTGACATTGGGTGCTTACGATAGTATTATATTGTTGCGTTATTTTCTTCGTTTACGTTACGTCGTACGGGGTTCATGCGAATTGGAGGGAATAATGACGACAGCACTTGAAGGATATCGAAACGCACTTTAAGGCCGTATTTTTCCAAGACCATATTTGACAATTTGTGATTGATGAACACTCCCGTTCTCACCGTGCAAACATAGTAAGCGAATGCCTTCAATCGGAGGATATCACCCGTATGGACTGGCCAGGATTCTCACCGGACTTTCATATGGAGAGCTCCAGGTACCCGTTACCACCCAGAAAACATCATTGAACGACACCGTTACGGTGGTGCAGGAGTGCTCGTTTGGGGTGGAATTATTCTGGGTTCTAGAACTGACCTGCATGTTCAAATTGGAACCATGACAAGCCAAATCTATAGGGACGTCATTCTGGAACAACATGTACGTTTGTTTCGGGGCGCCATGCGAGCACAATTTGTGTTTATGGATGAACACTTCCGTTCTCACCGTGCAAACATCGTAAGCGAATGCCTTCAATCGGAGGATATCACCCGTATGGACTGGCCAGCATTCTCACCGGACTTAAATCCAGTAGAGTACGTGTGGGACATGCTTGGCCGACGAGTTGCAGCCCGTCAACATCCTCCTACATGTCTACCGGAACTTCGGAGAGCATTGCTTTTTGAGTGGTGTAATATCCCCCAAGATCAGATCCATAATTTGATACTCAGTGTGCCTAGACGTTGTACGGATTGTATTGCATGGTCTGGGAGACATACAATGTATTGCTAATTATACCAACCATGTAATATTGGTTTTTTGTAAATAGGTTTTTTTTTAGTAATTTGCTCCAGGGAGGAAAAATCGCTAATTTTTTTAATAATATCAAACATGTAGCATCTTTTTTTGCTCCAAAATCACGTTTTTCAGTCGCCGAAGAACTACTATAGACAAGCTGTAACAATCAGCGACACAGCTTCCAGGCTATAACGGTGGTGACAGCTTCACTGCAAAGCACCAGAGTACAGCTCTCGACTTTGCTCAGTCGTTCTTAGAACTCCTCATACTCTCGAGACTCTCCACGCTACAACTGGCGATGCACTCGACGATACACTAGAGTACAGCTGCCGACTACTCGGTACAGTCGTTCCCGGAGCTCAACACACTCTCTCAACGATGCACTAACCGCGATACACTAAGAGGCTCTTGCGGTGCACTCGGCACTCACTGACTATCAACTCGATGGACATTGCACGAACTGACTAACTAACTCTCCGCGTTCTAGCAAGGTTTATATACCCTGTAGAGTCATTAGGTAATTTTTGGAAGCTGGAGAGATGAAAACTTAGCAACGCCTTCGCCGGGAATCGAACCACGGACCTGTTTAATACCGGCCCAACGTGCCGAACCACTACACCAGGAAGGCACGCCAAGAAGGTGGGAGAAATACCTTACAACTTTTTGGCTTGTGTTCGAGAACATCCTGGGCTATACCGTTAAGAATTCGTTCCAGAAGGTTTTCTATCTGTCCATGGCATATCGCCAATTTTGTCGCCAAATGTGGCAACCCTAAACCTACTTTGCGGTGAAGCCATCTTACCGCGCCTGGACGTTTTGTAACAATATATATTCTTAAGTAATTCTTGTTATAAGAATGTGCAAGGTTGCCATTTACATAAAAACAACTCACTTTTTTAAAACAACGTGCTCTAAGTGGCGTCCCTTTCTGAGGTAACGTTCTCCCATTCGAGAATGGACATTCTCATAACTTTCTACAGTTTACGTTCGCGGATTGTTTTTAATACAAAAAAATTAACATTTTTATTTTAATTAAAAGTGTTTTTAAATTTATTTCTCTCTTAAATTTCTGAAAAATCGGATAAGAGTTATAATTTATTTTTATTTCTATTAATTCAGACCACCGAGAGTGTCAACCAGGTGAATTTCAATGCATGAATGGTCAATGTATTCCTTTTGAACAACGATGTGATTTATTGAACAATTGCTTTGATAACTCAGATGAGCACAATTGCAAAGGTAAGAAAACATTTTTTTTTAAATAGAGTGATTTTCTCAGCTTTTTATTTTAAGGCTTATTCAAATACATTATCTAATAAATCTGAAGTAAAATTAAAATGAGAAATGAATTTTTAATGAAATTTAATTTTTCTATTTTTTTTTTTTTTTTTTTTTTCTACTTAGTAAAACTTTAAAGTTAGATCCTCTTTTGTAGTGAGATATTGTTAATTAATAGTATTCACTTTTATTCCATTACTTATAAGTTGTTCTGTATTTTCTTTTGTAGTGCTGATTTTATGGGTCTTAATTGGCATTTATAGCTTGAATTATGCTCTGCGCTACTAATGCTTTATCTATTCATCTATGACTTACCGAATGGCTATTTTTTTCCCGTTTTATCTAAACGTTAAATGATACAATAAATTTACGTTAAAAGATTATGCTTATTTGTGAAATTCGTTCACTTTAAATATTTTCATAGTAAATTTATCAGATAATACAGAATTGAGTGTATTTGTAACTGGGATATAGTTCCTGAATATTCTGATAAACTTTTTTTTAGAAATTAGTCATAGTTTTTGGAATCTTTTGTAGAGCTTTCAGATTAATATAGTCATAAAAATTCTGTTTAAAACGTTATGTAACATACAACACTAAATTAATAAATCGCTCTTGATTAGAATTTTATCTCCTTGATTGGCATATACACTATCGCAGTGAACTGTGTTCAATTTAAAAAAATTTACGTAAAAGCGCATGTATACGTATACTAAGCAGACATTTTTGGTCAATCAGTTATTTCCAGTATCAATTTTCAGACAATTTTCCACTTTCTATTGCTATTCAAGTAAATTTTTAAGGAATAAATTCTACTCACTGAAATTTTTTTGATGAATTTCCTCCTCTCTTTACTCCCTCTTTTCGACTGAAGATTTCTGAGATGAGGGGCGGGGGGCATAACAGAAAACCATATCAGAATTAGTTACATGAAGAGGCATATAAATATTACCGTATTGTCATTTACAATTAATGCTTTTAATACCATTAAAATTCAATAGTTTCAATTTCACACTGAACATTGACACCCATCGATATATTCCTTTGATGAATCAAAAGTTTCTAGATGATGAGGTAAAATTACTAAAAGGAAGATTTACAATAGTAAGTTTTCCTCTTCCTATTTGAGAAAATGAAATTTTAGTCTATTGCAAGATTTCTCGCAGTCGAACCCATTAGTTCGTTTTGTAATACAATTAGCGTGAGAGCGTACCATGAGAAAACGAATTATTTAAGAATGGATTTGCCGCCTAGCTTATGTTAACACATAGTGAATTCAAAAAAAGTTAACCTCCTCAATGTGTTACTGTATCTCAAAAACGTTTTACTTCTGAACTGTGATTTTATTCTCCCCATTTTTTTTTTTTTTTCATGTATATCTGCTGCAAATAGAGGGAGCAGTAAGTCTGTATATTAATAATAATGTTGCAATGCAAAATGTGACTAAATGCATTCACCGTTCATATTACACTTGCAGGTTCTTGCAATCCCAATAGCACTTTTCAGTGTTATGATGGCACCTGCATTCCCAGGTATACTTTATGTGATGGTCACAGAGACTGCCCTGGAAAATATCACGAAGATGAACAAGTAGGATGTTGTAAGTACTTCAGAATTTATTACTAAATCGTCTAAGACTATTTCGCTGTTAAATTTAACTTGTTTGAACTTTCATAAGCCATTGCAGCCCACCAGTGGCCGAGCGGTAAAATCGCTGAACACTGGTAGTTCGGTCCGAGGTTCGAATCCCGCGAACGGGCTGGCTGCATGGGCGTTTTTCGTGGTTTTCCCCATGTGTAACGTGTATACGAGCCAGTTTCCCTTAGAAAGTCCTCCACGAAAGGCATCCCTCCCCTTAGGGCAGATAGCCCTAGTGTGCTTTGCCGTATTCTCACCAATACACCATAAGCCATTCAATACACCAACACCAATACACCATAAGCCATTGCAACTTAATAATGCTTTTAAAGAGGAAATAAAGATGTTTTGGGATCTAGAAACATTTTAATTACGAGTTTCAGCAAGCTTTTCCATTTAATTTACGATAGCAATTATTGTAGGTATGCTTCTATGGCTTCTTTGAAACATTTTAGCGTTTATATTACTTTCTATAACATAAAATGCTTATACAAAACTTATTTTTAACCCAATGGGGCGTTAACGCAGAAAGGCTACTAATCTCGAAACGGCATTTTGCGCTGAATTGCTAAAAGTGTTGAATCACTTTTCAAATTGTTGCCACCAAATATAATCGCCCTTTATTATATTTAAAGAAATTAAATAATGAACAATCTGAATTAATGGATGCATGTTTCTCGAATTGTGAAAAAAATAACGATACCTAAAGCCATCAAATTTTGAATAACGTAGTCCTCCACCCGAATATGAACACCTGGAAGCCTGATTCTTGAATTTCGAATTTTTATTATCTATTTCATACTTTGTGAAACTTTAATGTATTTTTGATTAAAAAAAACAATGATTTCAAAGCGATCAGTGGCAACACATTGTGCGGGATAAAATATTTTTACCTCCAGCGCGAGAGATTGTCTGCCGGAAATCTTAAAGATTTGCTGTTTTTTTTTAGTCCAAGTTCTCCCGAAACGCTTGTGCATATGTAAATGAGGAAAACGCCTCTTTGGGATATAAAATCTGAACGCTTTCAATTTTTATTATAATTTTTTATTTCTTTGGGTTCAATATTTTCGTCTAGCTATGAAAGGCAAATCGAGTTTTGCTTTCTAACGTTATTATCGCAGCGTAAGGTAATTTTCACAGCTTCTACGCAATAAAGTTTAAGAATATTTTTCTTTTTGCATTATTACTGCTACCAGCATTGCTTGTAAGAATTTTTTTTTACTTTTCCACTGCATACCGTCGAGATATAATTAGAAGCACGTCCGGCTAGCAATCCAGAGGTCCAGACCTCGAATCTCGGCCAGGGCTTTGCCTTTCTCTTTTTCAAAAACTTATATGACTCTGAAAGTGGTGTCTGAGCCAAAATGTGGTGGATGATAATTAGTGCCCGCCTGGCTGGGTCACCTTCTCCCCAGCCCAAGACGCTCTTTAAGGAAGAAGAATGTAAAGAATTTTCTTCTTTTATATAGCATGTTTTCGGAGTGTAATTGGAAGCATGGCCAGCTAGCAATCGGGAGGTCCAAATTCGGATCGCATCGAAGCCATTGCTCATTTTTCACATTTCCTGCTTCGATATAAATCTGTTTACTCTGCATGCTCATTATAACTGGTTACATAGGAAATTATATATCTATTCATCCATAAGCGAATTTCAAACAATTCAATAATTTTCATGTTACATGAAGTTAATACAGATTGATGCGAAGATAAGTTGTAGTTCTTACTATTGTTATTATTATTATTGTTATTATTATTATTGTTATTATTATCATTGGTAATGGAGACATGTTACATTCTTTCTCAATCTAAAACTTATGTATTTATCTATACTTAATATTTCAGCTCGAAGAGAAGATAGACTTGGAAGATATGAAGAAAAGAAGCTGTGTTCGAAACGAGGTTATTCAGTCATTGATAAAAATTATTATTTATTTATAATCGGTGGTATATGTTTTATTACAGATGCACTGAAAAATTTTATATAAATTGGGCTACAGTAAAAAATTTTAATTTGCATTATAGGTAGTGTTGTGAAATGAACTAAAGCCTATTTCAATACACAATTTATAGAAATATAGCAATATTTCTTCAAATTCTGCATTGAAACTATAGAGTCTGCGTATATTCTTTGGGAGGATACACTCTTAAACCTATGTCGAAGACTAAATAGCGAATTTTCGCTATGCCTTTAAGAATAAATACTGCAGATGAAAGCTGTAAATAAATAACTAAGACGCACATATAACAACCAGAATATCTGTGACTCAAATATATATAGTTGTATTAGTTTATTTATAATATAGGTTATTATATATTACAAACAGTAATTGTAGTAATTGTCAAAATTTTACCAGGTAAAATTGAGTTCTTAGAATTCTGCACTGGAAACGAATTATTTATTTCATAATTTAAATATTTAAATTGCCTGAAATAATTAAATATTTTATTTAAATTTTCAAAAGCATTAAATTCGTTCTTAGTACACTGATATCATTTGCTATAAGTGTATATTAAATATTAGATGTGTCAAGTAAAGTGTCAGTGTATTAAATACAAAATTTTAATGTAAAAAAAAGAATAAATAATAAATAGCTTGAAAATTTTTGTATCACACTTTTTAAATTGCTTAGTTAAAATTCTGAAAAACGTATAATCTATTATTGAAAATAGTAAAATTGAAGTTTAAAAAATTCTGAATAGTCCATGAATTTGAAAAAAAAAAAAAAAAAAACTAATATTTTTGTAGCATTGCTACTTGCCACAATTATTATTCTACGGCACGAGCTTTGAAGAACGTTGTTGAAGATACGAGGTGTAACACAAAAAAAAAAAAGAGTGTAAGTGTGTAGCTTGAAAAAAGAGTAGAGTTGGCAACAACTGTTTTGGCGACCTCATCTCACACACCTCCTCTATCCATGCGGCCAGTTTTATTTAACTGGCTACGCAAGTTGAAAGTACTGAGTCATTGAGAGAACATGTGCAACTACACTCTGACAGAAAAAATGTCTGATTTAAAAACCAAACAGCCAATCAACATTCTTGTGAAACTTAAGAAATCAGCCACGGAAGCATTTCAAATGTTAACTGAGGCTTATGAAGATGAAGCTTTGTCTCGTGTGTTTGAACGGCATAAGCAGTTTTCAGGGGGAAGGGACAAAGCACGCAGGTCAAAACCAAATTCAAGGCAATGTTAATTATCTTCTTCGACATTAAGAGAATTGTAATGATTCCTAGTGGGTTCCTAATGGTCGGACTGTTAATCAACACTTCTACACTGAAGTACTAAAAAGACTTCGTGAAAAAAGTAGGGAAAAAAGGCTACAGTTGTGGAGTGATGGATGGGGTTTGCAGCAGGACAATGTACCCACTCACACGGCCCTATCAGTCAAGCAGTTTCTGCCCAGGAAAAATATTACTGTGATGGGGGCATCCTCCTTATCCACCTGATTTGGCTCCATGCAACTTCTTTTATTTTTAAATCTTGCTTATAGGGAAGCCATTTTATCTCAGTTGAAGAGGTTCAGTTAAAAACGGAGAATCTCCTGAAGGGCCTTCCAAAAACCTCGTTCTAGAACTCTTACAAACAATGGCAGCACCGGATGCAGAAATGCTTGAATGCTGAAGGGGAGTTCTTTGAAGGTAATAATGTCACGGGGAACTGATTCTGTAAGTACAATGATTTATTGGACCAGTCTCGTTTTTCTTGTGTCACACCTCGGATTGCATTAACCCTTTGACAGTTTAATTTTTTTCCAGAATTCGGTCAAAAAAATGTCACAATTTTGTATTGCATTTTTAAGTAAAGATATGTTATTAAAATTAACATTTCTAATATTTTTAAGCATTTATTACAACTTTTTTTCTTTAATGAAAATGAATCAACTTTTCCCTGCAAGTTGTTTTTTTTCCTTACATGAATGCAAAACAGGGAAGTTACATTTACAACTTAAAATAGTACAATTACTTAACAGATATTTTCGATTTTAATTCAATTACATTTACTATTATGTTTTGATATCAAAACATACTTACCCTTCTTTTTTTAAAGATCTGATTTAGTGTGATATATCTTAAAGCAAGGTGACAGGCACAGTCCAACATCACAGTTTGGGCAAAAATACCTTGTCTCTTTTCTAATTCTTTTGCCGTTGTCATTTATTTTTCAATGAACACACAGAACACTGTCTTGCGAGTCTTAGTTGTTTTTTCTGTAGGTGGAATAACCTCTAAAAAATTTCTTTCTGTTAGTCTTAGTGGAGTTGGTAAATATCCAGGACGGCCTTTTCTTTCTTCTACTGCTGCATGCCTTTCAATAAGTCGATCGATAATTTCTAATCGAAACTGTAAATTCGTATCTTTATTGCCGTGCTTTTTATACAAAACATAAGCGTTCCATAAACAGATATCTAGAAGATGAAAAAATATTTTTTGTAGTATTTCTTTCCTCGTTTCTTTATTACAGGATAATTACTTAGGTTCTGGTCCATTCGATCTACACCACCCATTGTGTTATTATACTCCATAACTACTTTAGGTTTTCGTTTAATTTCATTCGTCGAAGTAGATACTTGAACCATTTCCGGATTATGTATTGTAGATATGAGAGACACAGGCTTTTTTGTCCATCCATTTCATAATGCACACTTTTCCCCTCTGGTAAGCAAGCATTTGCCCTTTTTGAAGTTTTTTGTCAACAGTGCTTTAGGAACTTCCTCTTCTTTGAAGTTTTAATGTTCCGTACATATCTGTACAGTAACTAATGAGGATATCTTGCCTATTTCAGGAGATGAATAAAAGTTGTCAGTTGTCAGACAGTATCCTTTATGTAAAGGTGGTTGCATAAGTGTAATAACTACCTGCGAAAGATTTGCTCAAATGTTTGTAACTTTCATCAAACACAATTCCTTTTCCGGTGTATATTATCATAGACCATACATATCCAGACTTCGACTCACACAGCATGTACAATTTTATTCCGAAGCGTGATCGCTTTAGAGGAATATACTGTTTTCCAACTTAGCCTTCCTTTGAACAACATAAGACTCTCGTCTGTGGTAACATCACGTTCAGGGATGATCATTTCATTTCTTCGAAACGAGTTTTTAAATGCTTTAGCACGGCCATATTTTTTGATAATTTTGGACACTCATGAGAATTATGTCAAAATTGACATTATCTGAAAAATGCAAATAACTGTAAATTAATTGAAAGCGGCGATATGACATCACTTTTGGAAAAAATGGCGTGGATGTTGAATGCCTCTTGCTCCAATAGTGCTCAACAACTGGCTTTTTTTACAATACCTTGCAGAATATTCAAAGCAAAAAATACATGTAATTCATCTTTCGATGTTGGTGTCCATTTTTTGCTCCTGGAATGCTTACGAAGTGTACTGTTTTTTATGCATTGCTCAGCATATCTATTTGTTTCGAAAACAATCAGGTCAAGCAAATAATCGTCTATGAAAGCATAATAGAACTGAAGTTTACCTTTAGTCTCATCGATATCCAAGTTAATTTTTGGAATTCCAGTGAAAGCAAATCTAGGAGGCGGATCCGAAGGATTATCACAACTAATTTCAAAAAATTGTCTTGCTTGACTGATTTCATCTGTATCAGAGTCACTACTATCCAGGTCATCTAGTAAACTTTCGCTACTATCATTTACAGATAATTCAGTTTCTGATTCCGAGTCACAATTCGAATCACAAGAAATTAGCTCCATACGCTCTGAATTATCCATTATTTAAAAGTAAAAATATTATTCAACACTTACATGAATACAATTATCAGGCGGCTGGTAAAATATAACCAGAAAGCTATACACTGAAAGATAACAATTCGTCTTCTGATACAAAACATGCGAAAAAACCCGCGCTCTTGAACCAATCAGACAATAAACTGCAAACTATCATTTACTGGACAACTATCGACATCTGTACGAATAATTTGTTACTAAAATTGGAAAAAATACGGCCGAAACAGTGCAAGCGAAATAGAAATCAGATTTCACGTACGCCGTACGGGCAAATCAGTAAAGGCCCGAAAGCTGTGCCCGTACGGGCAAAACAGGGAAGGGGTTAAAGTGTAATTCTTTAACACTGTAATTGTGCTCCTCTTACTGTTCATAGATACTAATAAATTAATAATTTCATGCAAGTGTTAATTTTACAAAAAATTCTGTTTTTTAAAGATCGAAAGACGTGCCTAGACTTGTACATGTTAGATAACATCCGAGCGAGCGGCTACTACATGATAGATTCAGATGGCTCTGATGGACCAATACCACCTTTCGAAGTGTTCTGCCAGATTGGTGATAGCCCGGAAGAAGTGATCACCATCATCCATCACGACTCAGAGGAAAGTATGTATGTCCGGTCAGGAAAAGACGGTCCAGGAAGTTACAGCAGGACTCTCGTCTACTCCGTGGGTATGGAAAAACTCAAAGCACTAACCAACGCATCAAAAACTTGCCGGCAGTTTATCAGTTGGCGATGTTGGGGAACAGGCTTCCACTTTGAATCTGAGAAACCTTGGAGCTGGTGGGTTTCTTGGAACGGGCAGCCTCAATACACCTGGGGAGGCGCAAAAAAGCATACAACTTGTGGCTGTGATGTAGAAGGATGTAGAAACGTCAATAAAACTTGCAATTGTGATTCTGTCCAAAAATTTGAAGGGAGTGCAGATGAAGGATTTCTGGAGAACAAGGATACCCTACCAGTTAAAGAGGTATACGCTTCAACCACAATAAAAATCTATTTTAAACTGATCATTTAAGTATATTATGCATCTTTTAATTTTTATTTTATTATATGTTTTTTAGTTTAATCATAATGTTCATGTTAAAACATCATGTTTCGAAACTAATTCTCTTTGTTTTTTTAAACGAATGCTTTGTTCTGGGTCTAATTACTCGTTCAGCAGTAATCGCACTACAAAATACTATACAGTTTTTGTTCTTAAATTACATAGAAAAACAGTCTTTGACTGTTTTTTTTTTTTTTTTTTTTTTTTTTTTTCAGAAGCATTTTTAGAAGAATTAAAAAGTGCTTTTTTAATTGAATTCTGGCGGCATGGTATCATCTTTGTTTAAAAGGATAGGAATTTTGCCATTTTTTAACCCTCTATAGTAAAAAATCTGATGTGTACACCACATGACTTCCTTGTACGCAATATTAAATTCTCCGCTTTTTTTCTTGCATTTCATTTAAACTTTATTGCATTGAATTAAATCAACTTCCTCGATAGCACATAAACCACAGTAGAATAAATGCACTCTTTAAAATTCGCTATATTTGTTTACCATAGCGATACTCTGGCGCTAGGTTCACTTAACAGCGTTATATTTCGGTCATATTATAACTTATGTCTTAACTTCGGGTAAGAGGCAACCGGCCTATTGCGGCCTTTACCAATATATTATTCTTGACTTTCTAAATCTTGAGGATCAAGGGAGTTGAATCCACTAGAATGGAAAGTACTTGCACACGTTCTGTGCTAGAATTCAGAGATTTTTAATGGAGACTCCAGTGCCGCCATATGTTGAGAGATAAGTAAACTTAAAAGATACGAAGGTGCTCATGTTGCTCCATCTATTTTTGAAAATGAAAAGCTTCTTAGTAGGCTGGTGCTCTGGTGGCGTTATCTCTTGTAAGTTGCATTGTGAGGCATTTTTGAAAAACATTTCATACTATTCTTTAGGTAAGCAATTATTGGCAAATGATTATATGATGAAATAGCATAGTTTGTCACATTACAAAACGGTTTACAAGAATAAAACTATATGCACACCAAAGTCGACCTGCTTTGGCAGGGACAAAATCCATAGCGCTTTGTAAAGTAATGCAGTAAGATAAAAAGTAATAATAATAGTAAAATAAAACTTAACTAAATAAGTAAAGAACGAAAAATATATCTACAATTACCACCAACTATTGTGGTAAATAGTACGGGGACTTTTGTGGCGTTGTTCTACTGTGTAATCATAATTTCCTCATATTACAACTCAGAATGCACAAAATTTATATCATTTGAAGAATTATCTAATCGTTGCCACATGTTCTGTTCAAATACTATAATAAATCTAGAGTGATGTATAAAAGAAATCAAGCAAACACAACAAAAAAGAAACAGTTTTTCACAGATGATTGAGTTTTTCTCATTCAATTAATTCAGTTCTCACTTCGCGACAGGGCAAAAATACATAAAAACTCAAAATATCTATATTAAAAATTACGAAGTAAATCTTAAGCACTTATTTCCTCGAAAAAATTCCAGAAAGGATTAAGCATGATATAATTCGCAATAATAAATTACGGCGTTATCTTTGTTGTTGCGAAGCTTAGTCTCTCTAGATTGGCAACAAATCTACTATTCTGCTGTTTCAAATTTAAACAAACATGTCCGCCATGTTATTTAAAAATTAGGCTTAACCGAACTTAAACAGCTTTTCAATTGTTGATAATTCTACAAATATTGCTTGAAGATTTACTAAAGGCATCAAAACCTTAACCCGAAGATAAGAACAACATAATTGAATCATTTTTACAAGCATATAAGAGTAAAGAAACTAAGATTACTGAGCTGGGTAACAGAGTGAATACATATGTAAATATGTACTTATATACGATTGGTGCGGCCGATTGCTACCAAAATACGAGGTGTATATCTATATGTTATAGCAGTTCTATGTACAAAATTTCAACGTTCTGAGGCTACTCATTTTTGAGTTATGCGAGATACATGCGTACGTACGTACAGACGCCACGAAAAGTTCTCTTCAGAATTCATTTGAACCTCTTCGTCGTCCGTAACGCGTGTAGCGTGTTCAAGTGAAACTTCTGCAGGGCGGACATAACGCGCCTCAAGCGTTCTTCTACATTTTAAAACTTTTAAACTTTTAAAACGCTTTCTAAATGTTTACTTGTTTTTGTTTCTTTGTTGTTTTTGTTGAGTTTTTATTTTTGTTTGTTATAATACCTCCTAGAGGGTAGCACTAATCAGGTATTGTATTTCTAATTGAATTTGTCCCCGGATGTTATGAATATTCGCGCCATTTTACATAAGATACAGGACAGTGAGAGATGGTTTCAACGTCTACTCAGCGGAAAAAGAGAAAAAATTAAGTTGTGAATTGGAAAGGCAAGAAGGATAAACTTTTGATGAGTATAGTCCATAATAACTCGATGATTGATGTTGGAACACAGAAAAAAACTGTAAAAAAAAACAATAATTGTAAAAGATTACAACAACAAAATGGGAGGAGTGGACCGCCTGGATCAGATGCTATCAAATTATCCTGCTGTTAGAAATAAGCAAAAATATTATTATTTTTCCATTATGCTTTATTTCCTTATGATTTTACTTAATATTCATTGGCATTCATCCACTACGAAAGTCATGTACGGAAAGTCATGATGTACAGAGAAAACAACATTACACGCTACGAAAAACAGACGACCGCTGGGGGGAAATTTTCGCGGACAGGAGAGGACGGCGAAAGGGTTAAAGCAGTTTTATAATTTTTTTGAGGAAAAGAATCTTTTATTTTGTCCTTACGTACAGATGTCACGCAAAAGCATCGTTAAATTTCATTCGAAGGTCAAAATGCATATTTTCGTTGAAATATGCTGCCTGGAACTTTTACCGATGACAATACTTCCTTTTTATTTTGTACAAGGAAGTAAAAATAATATAAGGCTTATTAAGTTTGGATAAACATTTTTCTACCTCAACTTATCCTATATTTCTCTAATACCAACCATTCACAGGAAAACACTTGAATTTGCAGCGCGGTTAAAGATACATATAAATTATAAAAGCATTCCCTCATAGGCTTCATGCTTGATTGATTAAGTATTACTGAGTCCCATCAAATGTATCTGCCTTATTATTGATTAGTCATGCTTTATTTCGGTAAGTGACTCACGATTTTTAGCCGTCAAATTTAACTTTTCGTAGTAGGAAGACGTAATCATTTCCGATAAGTCTGTGATTTTTATATTTAAGTTTTATTATAGAACGTCAATTTAAGTGCTGTGATAATTTATTATATTATATTTTTCTGGTAACTCGATTTCGTGCAAGTGCCATAGTGGGCATAGTGCCACAGTTTGATTTTCTCCATTCTCCATTTGCTAATTGTTTGTTCTTTCTATATTAGTTCCCTTTCTCTATTTGCTAATTGTTTGTAGATAGCCGATAAAGTTAAAACTTTTGTGTAAGAAATCTTGTGTAATTTTAACTATATGGCATTATTTCAGAAACATCGCTGGTTACACTAGTCTGCTGTTTAGTGATTACTGAATAGTAGTTTACTAGCCGTTAAAAAAATAGCCCCAAAGTTGAATGAGAAGTTGTAAATAACTTTAATAAATTCAACTACTCCCAGTTTATGCAAATCAAATTGTAAATATATAATAATTATATATTCATATAAATATATAATAGTAATCGGATAACAGAATTAAAAATAAATATTAAAACAGTTATAGGTCAGGAATATTTTAGCCACCGAATTCTATGGATGACAAATCCAAAGCGTGTTACGCTAAAACGGGGCAACGAATAGATATAATTAAATCACGAGAAGGACAAAAATAAAAAGTAGTGATTAAGCAAAATTCTCAAGAAATGTGTTACAATCTATTGCAATTTTTTATACAGCTTATGAAATGTCCTGACATTAAAAAAAAATATTTCAGTAAATTTCGTTTATGCAAATTGCTTTATTTTGGGGAGCATCATGATGCAAGTTTCATGTTAATAAATACTTCCTTGTAGAGCTATTAGGTTATTTAGTAGCAAGAGAGTTGAAAAATGAGCAACTCCTTCGCCAGGAATCGAACCACGGACCACTGGAATACACGCCCAGCGTGCAGACCACTACATCACTAAGGCACGCTAAGAAGGCGGGAGAAATATCTTATATCCTCAAGAATTAAAACTTTTATATTTTCAAAATTCTATTGTAGGTTAAGAAATAGACTTGTATAAATTTGTATAAATAGAATATGACAGTTAAAACTTTCTTTAAATTTGTCTCATTATAGCTTATATCAAGATCTTCACGTAATATGCTTTCGTAGTTTAGATTTTATGCTCACGTCATAAAACACAACTGGTTACCAACCAAAACTGTTAACGTCCACTTATGATATTTAAGAAATAATAATTCCTTTACACTTATTGTTTAATGTAAATGCTGAAAATGTTAATGAAGTGTTCCATCTTAAAGCAACGCTCTTTTTTAATTTTATAATTTTTAATAATGTATATCTTTTTGCCTAGGTAAGATTTGGTTACACATTCCGGACAGGACAATATGGTTATCACCGAATTGGACCGTTAGAATGCTTTGGAAATGGTAATAGTCTTCATAAATTATTTTATTTATTTCCTTTTATTGAAATATTGTACATATTTGGTTTTAGTACAGTTTTGTGATTCTGTAGTTGATTTTAATCCGAACTCTATTTTGCGAATGCTAATGTTGATATTGGCCCGCATATAAGATATCCTCACATAAAAGGTTTCGCTTATATTTTCAAGGTGTTTCGTTCCGCGGACTGATTTGAAGCTTGTGTAGAAGATCTGTAATAAAAAGCGAACTTGGCAGCCATGGCAGATTTAAACATTAATTTTTACTTTGATTGATACTTGTGGCCCAAATAAATTGGCAGTCTAATAGTGCCTGTTTCAAAACATTTACATTTTTGATATCTTTGTGGTAAGAAGAGAAACAGCATGCAACAGATCTAACTAGTCCGAGGATCAGAAGAAAGTGTGTTGTGTTCAGTACGAAATTTTAATTCAGATGAAGTTAGTTCCGATTTCGATTGGATAATTAATAAAACTCTGATATAATTATTGGCTGTTAGAGTTTTATTTCGCAAAATCATAACGTGAAACGATATAAATTAATCTGAAAATGACGCACTGCAAAAACGTTTATTAAATTATTACTGTCTTTAGGAAAGAAAGAAGAAATACCCAGTTTAAAATGAAAAATTAAGGAGCTATTGGAAACTTAATTTAGAATTTGGATTTGCATATTTTTCTTAATTTACACATACACACATATATTATTTGGCATTGGTCCAAACGTCCTTGCAAGAAAACTAAATCTCACACCAAAGTAGTAAGTTAGGTATTTATAAGGATGAGGAGTTAGCCAACATGCACCTGCTATACGGGGCGAGCCTGCTCCCAACCATAAACTCTTTACATAACTACACGAGACATTAGCTGAAACGAGTTCCTTCGAGAATTTCCATGAGTCAGAAACGAAATGGCATGGACTTCAGACATCAAGAACTCTTTGCAACGTCATGTCAGAGCATTCAAAGTTTAAGTACTCGCATGAAGTGGAGGTTTTTCTGTGCAGTGAATGGAGAATTCTTAGAGAAACTGAAATACATTCGTATCATGTGCAGCACGTCCGGGTACTTCAACTGGATGATCATGCACCTCAAATGGCTTTTGCACAATGATTTCTATAACAGTGCACTACAGATTCGCTTTTCCCTGTTTCTGTTTCATTCACCGATGAGGTCTGCTTTATGAGAGAAGGGATCTTTAATTTACATAGCGCCCATACGTGCACGATGGCGAACTCACGTGCGACACGAAGATGTTCAGCAAAGCCCGTTTGGCAGTAAATGTTTGGTCTGGCATTATGAGGATGACGTCATCAGATCTTATCTGCCACCTTTTTATCTTACCAGTATCAACTACTTGATATTTTTGGAGCACATGTGACCATGACTTTTGGATGACGAACAGGTTTTTGCATAGCTGGGACCTTCATTCTAGTTACAGTAAGATGAGGCCCCCACACATGCCATCCATCATGTTCATAGTACGTTAGACATTACATGTAGCCAATTACATTTGGACAACAGGGAATCGGACGTAGTACTTCGTAGTGGACCTATCATGCCTTGATATTTCTTCTGGGGACATACGAAAATACTGATTCATGACACTCCCTATGACAGCGCTATGGTACGCATCGTTATAGCTGGTACTGAAGTAAGAAACATGCCTGGAATTCTCCAGAATATTCAGAGTTCCATATGCTGAAGATGTGAGACCTACATTTCACCTTGTGAAGGATACTTTGATCGCCATCTTTGACCTTTATTTCTTTCGTGAAAGCATATATTTTTATCAAAACAAATTTTCTATTATGTCCTCTCATTTCTGGTCTCCTATCGCATGCATATATAATTGCCGACATGATTACGAAGCATCTGGGTGCTAAATACCTCTCTTATACGTTTGTAAGTCTCGTATTGAGACACTTCGTATATTATTTGAAAGCTCCTATAATGTTTAGATAATTAGATATTAGCTAATTATCTAAACATTTAAGATAAAAGTCTTAACAATGTATCGTGGTGGAGCACAATCCTTGTAGAGTGCATATGCAAGCAGTTTCTGATTTCTTTAGATAATTTTCTTAGACATACGTTTCCACTTACAGCATCTGTTAAAATAAAATAAAACAGCATTTTTAATCTAAAGGCTCTTTATATTAGCTTGATTCGCACTAAAATGTTTCAAATAAGATAATTATATGACTTCTTAACCATAAAACTCAAAAATTCCAGTTGCTGTTAAGATCTTTACATATATATATTGGCTGCTTTAGAATAAACATAAATATAAAGATATTAAAAGCAACTGCAGTTTTTGAGTGCTGTGGTCAAGAAGTCATATAATTATTTTATTTCAAACATTTTAGTGCGAATCAAGCTATTAAAAATAGCCTGTAGATTAAACATATTTTTATATTTTATTTTAAAGTTTTTTCGTTTTGAAATTTATTAAGCATCGTTTTCTGTATTGACTAAGCATCAAATGTTTATTAAGCAACTATAATTTCACTCAGTTTTAATTAAATTTTACGTAATCGATTCTTTTTGGAAATCTTAATTTTTTATTTATATTTAACATCTAATTATAATCGTTAAAACTGTAATCGATTTTTTTAATCTTTTTAATGTTTTATTTATATTTAGGTAGTAGCGCTCGCCATCTATTAATGAGACGCTACACTAATTCATTTGGGTGCTATGACACTCCAGCAAATTCGGTAGAATGTAGTTTTATGACAGAGATTTGTGCCTTATATAGCCTTTAAATTAAATGGGTAAATTCATGAAAATATTCATTGTGATTATGTGTAATTCTATAGACATAATTTATTATATTAAAGAAAAAATAATTCAATTAATAAAATTTTCAACATACTTTAATTAAAAGCAAAACATTACATATTCTTACTTGTAAAATTTGGAGATGCATCTTTAGTATTCTGATAGTAAAACCTTTTACCTATAATAGAAGTATAAGCTTCAAATTCATTAAATAAGCCTATTTTATCCAAGACGACAGTATTAATGTCCAAAATGATACATCTAATAAAATCTCCAAATGAATATCATTATATTTTTTTTAATAATTTCTTTCTCAGTTTGTAAGGTTCAGTTCACTCAATCTCAAATTAGGCCTCAAAGCTGCAGTCGGGTTTTTACCTTACTCCTTTTGTTAACTGAAATTGATTATATTAACTATTCAAATACCTCGCATAAAATAAAACCTATCTTGCGGATCACTAACTAAGAAAATTGCAAAAGCCTTTCTTTAGCTACTTGTAAATTTTAACTTTAAGAAAAATTAGAAACTACATATTTTTCATTATAATGGATTGGAAAAGATCGAATGTTATAAAAAAACTGTACAAAGTATCACTGTTAATTCGCTTTTAATTTCTAACCATCAACAGAAAAAAACAAAACAAATTTATGTTGCAAGTATAAAGAATAGCTGATCTACGAGTATGTAGTGGAGGAGACTTCGTCTTAAGACATGGGGTCTTTAAACGTCTTAAGAGCATTTGATGTTTTTAATTGAACTGTGGGTCTTTTGAGATTTAGGTACGTGCGACACCATATATCCGTTTCTGCATGTGAAGAACCAGGTAGACATGCTCAATTTGCTTATTCTAGTAATTCCTGCACTTAAATGTAAAACTTAATTAAACTTTAGTGAAACTTGCATTGCCTGGTGAGTTGAGATGATACAAATAGTTGTGACAGAATTCAGTTGAATGAAACGGGTTAAAAGGTTAAACTCTTACAAACTTTCCCTCAAAATTCCTAAATTCTGAATTAATGATAGACACAGAAATGCAATCTAATACAATACGCTTTATTTTCATGCACCCGCGTCGCATGGATATGAAATATTTTGTTCTTAATTGATAAAGACAAATTATTTTGATATTTCGTATATGTATGAAATGTTGGATTTTCTTTTTTAAACACCTCTCCGCTCTCAATATGCAGACTCTTTCGATTCAATTCCCTACCTGCTTAAAGAAATTTATAATATGACATATATTTCTAGCATCAATATTTAATAAAATAAACCCAGCAGCCTTTTCTTTCGAATACCCAGTTTATTTTATATTAAAGTCATAAAATGTATTTTGACTGTTTCTGCTTTGTATCTAGCAGAAGCTCTTGTATCCAAATAACACTGTATTAAATATAATATTATTTCATCAGGTTTTCTAAAATTAATCATAATTATTTTCAGCTGTTGAAATTGTGGAAAGATGCACGAACAGTACGAATTACATGAAATGTTTTACTGGTCATTATGTTCCCATTTCATTCAAGTGTCTTTATGAATTCGACCAGTATGGGTATCACATAGGATGTAGAGACGTTACGCATTTGAGACACTGCGGTAAGAATTATTTTCTTTACAGTGTTACTTAATTATTTCTTTACAGTGTTTTAGAAAAAACTTCAATTTCATAACAAAGAAATATTGTTTGAAAATGCAATTCAGAAACAATGAAGAGTAACTTCAAATAAAAAGGAAGTATTTGTAAAGTGATTTATTAGAAATTTTCTTTTGTAAACGCTTCAAAGTAAAAGCATTTAGCTTGCTTTTATTGTGCGTAAGAATTTTAGAACAATTCTTGACTTCAGGAAATTTTCTTTATTTAAATACACTTCTAACATATTCTTTCTTTTTTCATACTTTAATATTTAATGTCAATAAATATTTCCTCGGGGATCGGAATTCTGATATTCTTTTATTAATTTCTAATTAAAAAATATTGCTTTTTTATATTCAGATCTATTTTACACTATTTTGATTTCTCGGCTCATTTTTTTAGTACTTTTAAAGTAGTATTGATAGTGTTTCGAAATGTCCAGCTGTGGTGAGATAACTTCTCGGCAAAGCGGGATTAAGGTTGCCAGAAACAGGCCAGATTTGGAGATAAATCGCCAATTGGCAATATTTGACGAAAAAATTGGCGATATTCCATAGACAGAGCGAGAACATTCTAGAATGTATTCTTAGCGGTTTTCTCGGGAATATTCTTGAAGGTAGGTTAAAGCTATATATACCCTGCCTGTATGGGAAGAAAATGGTGTCTTGTGTTCAGAGATTAGCTTGAGAGCGATCGACCGAGTCGGGAGCTCTAGTGCTTTGATGTGGAGTTGTTTTCAGCATTATAGCCTGAAAGCTGTGTTGCTGAGTGTTTCAGCGTGTTTGTCTTAGTTTTTCGACGAGTGTAAACGTGTCTTTCGAATTGTCCTGTGCAACACTATTACTATTTTACGTAAAAGTTTTAATTTTCACTAATTTAATTTATATATATTTATATATATAAGTATATAAGATTTGCCACGGATAATTGCTAAACATTACCTAAATAAAATAATGCAAATTATAGCGTATATTAAAATACATTTCTACGTATGTGTGATATCGTATGCCGAGGGATTCTGACCACATGTTACTTCAAAAGGATCAATAGACATAAAAGTTATTCTTTTTACAAAAATAAAAATATGGTTAAAATCTCTTTAATAAGATTAAAGAGAATGCTAGAAGCGAGTGGATGCAATTTTAAAGATTAGATTGGATTGGATTACTCAGTTATGGTAAAGCACACAAGGGCTATCTGCCTAAAGGGAGTGATGCTTTCTAAGGGAAACCGGCTCGTATACACGTTACACATGGGAGAAACCACGAAAATGCCCATGCAGCCAGCCCGTTCGCGGGATTCGGACGTCGAACCGAACTACCAGTGTTCAGCGTCTTTACCGCTCGGCCGCTGGTGGGCGCAAATTTAAAGAAGAATCGACGGTACGAAAACAAAAAGAAATAAGTTAATTGTTCTTTGAAATATCTGATAATCTCCACCTGGCTTCTGGTTCTGTATGTAAATCATATGCTTCTAGAATAAAATGTAATTTATTTTTTAAACCATTTAATTAAAATTATATATACATATATATAAAGAAGAAAATTTGTGTGTTTGTCCTATAATAACTGAGTCACTACTATTGCTATCGTCGCCAAACTTTCTACGATTCTTTTCTGTGTCCTGGAAAAAATCGACGTCCACTTTCTTCCAAAAACAAAAAGTAGCTAAAGTCAGAGATATTAATTAAAAACTTGGAAAAACGATAATTTTCGCCCTCATTTTCCCCAGTGGCAACAGTCTCGCAAGCTGGAGATGAAAATCTACTAAGAACATATAATGAATTTGAGTTTCAGAAAGCAGCGCCTCCTTTTACTCTGCATCACGTGAAGAACATCAGTAAAATTAAAAGATGAAAGTAAAAGCCAGGTGGCCGCCATCAGTCGATGAAAAAGGTGAGTTTCTGATCGAAGGTCCAAATATGAAGAATCTAGTATGAGTAAAAAATGTTAAGGATGGAGAATGTCAGATGGATACTTATGTTTTTCTCTGGGAAGTGGAGAACATCTAAGAGAGTTGATGCAGTTGTTAGGATGAGTGAGAACTGAATAGGAGAAATTTCTAGGAACTTTTTGAATATAATCTTGAATTGTTAATCTTGAATTGAATAACTTTGAGATCACGGTGGATATACGAATTTGGAATGAACCATGGCGCGTTGATAATCTCTTCGAGTGCTTTGTTTTGAAGAACTTGAATGTGGTGAAGGTGAGTTTTGGCAGCGTGGCTCCAGACAAGACTAGCATAGAGTAATGCTGGTCGAAGTATAGATTTATATAAGAGGAGTTTATTAGAAAGGGACATATGACTTCTTCTGCTAAGAAGTGGGCGCAAGCATGATAGTTCCAAGCGTGATATTAATTCTTTTCACAGTTTCCGCGAGATGTTTCTGAAAAGTCATTTTTTTTTATAAAGAATGACTCCTAGTCAATTTCCTAGTCAACTTCGTCAAGCCAGTCAATTTCTTCATCAAACAGAAGAGGTCTAGATGGAGTGAAATTTATTTGGCCTTTGCGAAAAATTATTGCTTTTGATTTTTCGGTATTAACCGGAATCCTCCAAAGAGTGAGCAATTTTCTAGATGATTGAGGTAATGTTGAAGAAGGAGCTGGACAACAGTAACAATAGAAGTTTAGGTCATAATTGCAGTACCATCAGAGATGAAAATCTGTTTTATTTGGAAACTTGTTGCCACTGCTCGCTTTCAAATCGTAGAGTTTATTAATAAAAAATTTGTAAGTTTTACGATGAAATTAAAATAGCATTGCCAAACATTAAATACATTATTCCCGATTCCAAAAATTCGTGGGAAGCCATTTCGACTATTCCGATCTTCGTACGACTTTAATCACCGAAATATTAATTAAAAACTCTGAAAGCGCTAATTTTCGCACTCATTTCTCCGAGTGGCAACAGTTTCGGTCTCACTTTTCTCATTTTCAATTTTCTATTCTAATAGAATCCTGTGACAGCTATAAAAACTCTTATTGAAACTTTTTTGAACTGATGGAATCGGTTTTGCACATTTTTTTCCTCTTCGTTTACGATAATTAATTAACCCTTTTTTTGCAATCATTTTGGTAAAACCGTGCGTCATCAAGGGTAATTAATGTATTTCCATTTATCTTCCGCTAAATAGTTTTATACAGGGTTCTACAAGCTGTTCTTCATTGAGCCACAGGCCATGCCAAAAGCCAATGAACATTATGTTATTAGGTTTTTGAAGTTGTAAATCTTGGTTTATTTTATTTACCGCTGCTGGAGTTGTATTTAAAGACTTTGCTATTGATTTCTGCGTCAGCGGGTTTTCTTTTATTACCAACAATTTAACTTTAGAAATATTAAAAACGGTGTTTACATTTTCTGGGTATTCGTTTGAAGTCTTCTTTTCATGTAGAAATCGTGATTGATGGTTTTTCCCTTTCCGATTAAAAATGTTGATTTTTTTCACTTAGAAATTTTAATACTTTGTGTTTCACAATGTTTTTGAATTATAAAATACGTATATTTATTTCTGTTTGGAAAGCGCAAATCATATCCTTCAATCAGATTACATCTTAAGCTTTTTAACATGTGACATTTTGAAACAAGAATAAATTTAGAAGTGGGAGACGGTATTTCTTATTTCAAATAATAAGAAGTTAAAACAGGCAAATCGACAACCTTGTATTCGGCGTATATTTTGTAAAATCCCAAACCAATAAATGTAAACGAAAGAAGAAACTCACCAACTTCGAAAAGAAGAAATCCAACAACTACGTGGGTTTGAAAAACAAAATGGCGCAAGTGGGTAAACGATCCAAACAGGAATAAATTTCTCAAAAATGCCGGTTGGTAGCAAAATCAAGATACAAGGAAAACACGTCGACGTGTAAAATAAAACAGACAAATCTGCTTTTGTCTAATTCTTTATAGAAATTCTAAAAATGTGCAAATATCCTCTCTAGTCGTCAGCATTGAGTAGACTCCCGGTCACGGTACTAGACAGAGTTATTAACTACTCATCGGAATGATCTTCTTCCATCCAAACCACAGCAAAGGGTTTGCATTATCATTTTGAAATAAAAAGTTACTATATAATTATTACAGAAAAATATTAATTTCTGCGAATTATATGAATTACGCGCTCTTAATTTCTGATCTTTGTTCGAGATATCATTAAACGAAATAAAAAATACATTTGAAGAAAATATATTTCTAGTAAGTAAGAAAAATGTAACCTAATATCTTTAACTTAGTATAAATATTCCTGCTTTAATAAAAAGTTACTATATAATTAGATACTTCTTAGAGACTATATATTATATATATATATAATATTATATAAGATTAAGACTATATATTATATTATATTAAGACTATATATTTATATATATATATAATATATATATATTATATTATATATATATATATATATAATATATATATATATTAAGACTATATATACTCTAAGAAGACTATATATTATATAGTATAATATATAGTCTTCTTAGAGACTATATATTATACTATATAATTAGATACTTACACGCTGGGCGTGTAAATCCACTAATACACAGGCAGCCTTAACAACTATTTAACTATTTAATTCAAGCAACATTTTTAAAATTAAAACCCAAATAAAATTTGTTCAGTCACGCTTGATAATTTTCAACCGAAATACGACACGAACTAAATTGATGATTTGTAATAGAAAATTGTGGTGTTAAACTAAGAAGGCACTGTTTGCCCTGTACTCCTAGTACGAGTCTTTGCATAAAAAAAAAATTAATCCAAAGCTTCTGGCCATTAGTACTTACCAGCACAAATACAAATGGTTCAAAGTATACCTTGGCCTGTAGCCAAAGCACCTGGTCAACCTGCACGACAGCTTAAATCACTTACCACCAATACAGCTACTTAAGGGGACTCATACAGCTTAAAACCCATAAGATGTTCGAAAATTGGGATAACTTATTTATTTTAAAAGCAATTACTACCAACTTTTTACAGCTGACTACATAATATAGCTGCTTTCTGAAATAGTAATCAGAACGTTTATGTTGACACAACTATTTTTATAATTTAATCCGCTTTGTGACAACATTTTTCGTCATGTTTCCAACTTGCGCGCACAGTTTAAAACATTATGTTTCATAATTTAATTCCATATTTAATATATAGCTTTATAACATTTGGAAACTACTGTGAACCTAAAATTCTAAAATTTCATGTTAAATTTTTTATTTTATTTGGAGTTGAGTTTATAAAATGTATTTTATTAACAAAATTTGTAATGTTTTTCGTCCATAAAATTTTTCAATATTAAAATATTCATCAGATTGTGTTGGTTCATTAGAAAATAGTGCCCATATAAAGACTTCCATCAAATTTCAAGTATGTACCATTAGCCATTTTTAAAATATCGTGCGCGCAAGGTGGAAACATGGCGAAATATTTTGTCACAAAGAGGATTAAATTACAAAAGTATTTGTGGCAACACAAACTTTCTGGTTATTAGTTTACAAAGCAACTATATTATGTAGTCAGCTGTAAAAAGTTGGAAGTAATTGCTTTTAAAATAAATAAAATATCCCAATTCTTGCAACAGTCACATATTTGAACATCATGAGGGGTTTAAGGTGTATGAGTCCCCTTAACCTTAGGCCTACAACCGATGCAGCAGGAACGAGAGCTAGAAACCACGAAGGTTATGAGTCAAACTCTCTAATACGGCTTAGTTAAGGTTGAAATCCTACTTTAAAATTCTGTCGCAAGCTTTAAAATTTGAATAACTTTCTCGTCTGAGAGAAAATTGTTGCATGAGCCAAGAAAGCTAGAATAGAGTTTTAATTATAATTTAAATTTAACTGTTAGTAAAATTTAATAATTCTCAAAAAATAAATACTATTTTCTTTCATCTACAGAAGATTTTGTTTGTCCTAAGGATTACATAAAATGCCCAGAATCTTACTGCATACCGACGAGTTATGTTTGTAATGGGAAATGGGACTGCATTGGTGGAAAAGATGAGGAAGAATGTGGTAAGTACATGTTACTTATTTTCGTTTAAGAACAATCTTGTTAATAGATATACAAAACGAGCATTCTAAACTAAATATCAGCAGCTAGTAAAATATAAATTCTTGGAAGTTTACGAGTCTTTGCATTTCGATCAACTGCAAAGAGACATCCTAAGATTTCCTCCTTTGAAACTAAATATTATTTTTAATTTTCATTGAACGGAATATTACTTTAATTTGTCATAATTAAAGTGGAAAGGTTCGTAAAAGCTAACAAGATGTTTCTAATAGTTGTACTTTGTTCAAAATTGTAATTATATATTTCTATACAAGAATTTTAGTTTCTTCTGGAATACTTTGCTTTTCATTGAATTCGATAAAAGATAATTTTAAATATCTCTTCACTAATTTGCAAATAATGAATATATTCTATGCTATGAGGGTTGCTATTTATATTTCTGGCCTAGTAAATAAAGAAAACGTTTATAATCGAAAATGCTTTTATTGATTTTTAAAATATCCTCGATGAAGATCAATACACTTTTGCATGCGTTCGAACCACTTTTCGAAGCACCTTTTCCACTCCGATTGAGGTAACTCCAAAGCATGCATTTTGAATGCATAAACCGCTCCTTCTGGCGTCACAAATCGCTGACCAAGTGGTTTAATTTTGATGTGCGGAAAATAAAAAAAAGCCATTGGGTGCCAAATCAAGGCTGTACGGCGGATAACCCATCAATTCGATGTTTCGGCGTGTCAAAAATTCCTTTGTTTGAGCCGATGTGTAAGAGTTTGCATTGTCATGATGAAGAATGATTTGCCTCTTCTTTTTTCGAATTTCTCCGATGACTTCTGACAAACAAATACTCGTGTACCATTCGAAATTGACCGTCCCTGCGATGCTCTAACGCCACTGTCGCGACGTGACCGGTAATGCCGAAGAAACAGACAACCTTCGATGGTGCTCCTTCCGCGAACAACATTTGTTGGATTTGGCTCGTCTCAGAAGACCCATTGTTCTATTAAACTTAATATGTTTCACAAACTATAATCAATCAACAAATGGACTGTATTCCTACACTTTTATTAAATTACACTTGTCAGCGATGCAAAATAATTGATACAAAATAAGCGAGCCATTCTACATGGCTATCACAAACACAATTCTATCAATCAATTATCTTGTTGCCACACATAAAGTTCAAAACTAAAAGAAGAAAAACAAAAGGAATTTACGCTGTTTGCAACAATAAAATGAAGCAAACGATACTCACATAAACATCTGGCCCTCGTTGAAATCCCAGGGGATTTCAACAGTTGGAGCATTTTGAAACTTCTTAGTCTGTAATAAAGATAAACATAAGAAAAAATAATACAAAATATTATATGCGAAGCAGTTCATAGTTTTTTTAGTCTGAATAGGAAGAGGACACAATTTCACGACTGGTCGTTTTATGACACCATGACCAGTTTTTAATACTAGCAACTCTGACTCTTTGATCTGAGCCCGGATGAACAGCAATTATTCTCCCTAACCTCCATTTAAGAGGCGGAAGGTTGTCTTCTTTGATGAGGACTAAGTCATTGACTTCTAAATTGTTTTGACTTTTTTGCCATTTAGGTCTTTGTTGAAGCTGAGACAGGTATTCTCGACTCCATCTTTTCCAGAAGTGCTGAAAAATAAACTGTCTCACATGCCATCTGTCAATGTGATTGAAGGAACTATAATTTAGGTCTGGTTCAGGTATGGCAGTTAAAGACGTTCCTATTAGGAAATGACCAGGTGTTAATGCAGTTAAATCATTTGGATCAGCCGATGTTGGACACAATGGCCTAGAGTTGAGACAAGCCTCAACCTGCGCTATCAAGGTCTGAAATTCCGGATAGGTCAGCACAGTATCACCAACAGTCCTTTTTAGATGTAATTTCATTGACTTTACTGCCGATTCCCATAGTCCACCAAAATGGGGAGATGATGGCGGGTTGAATATCCATTTTATTTCCTCTAAAGACAAAAATTTGTGAATTTCTTGATTTTGCTTACATTGCAAAAAACATTTTCTGATTTCTTTGTCTGCACCTTTAAAGTTAGTACCGCAGTCACTATAAATCTCAAATGGTTTCCCTCTTCTTGCAATAAATCGTTTCAATGCACTTAAAAATGCCTTTGTTGACAAATCTTCTACCTTCACTTCAAGATGTACTGCCTTGATTACAAAACACACAAATAAGCATACGTAATATTTAAATGATTTTTGTCCACGTCCTGCACGATGTTTAATCATGAACGGTCCAGAAAAATCTATTCCAGTTCGATGAAATGGTCGTGATTGTGTTACTCTAGATTCCGGTAGATCAGCCATTATTTGACTTGCAGTTTTAGCTCTAAGTTTGCAACACGTGATACAAGATTTTACTACTTTTCGGATAGCAGATCTAGCAGCTATGATCCAAAATTGCTGTCTAATTAAAGATAGAAGAAGTTCCGGTGCTGCATGCAGATATTTGACATGAAAGTGTCTAATTATGATTTCTGTCAGATTGTGTTTTGAAGGTAATAAGATTGGATGTTTTTCATTTTCTGATAGTTGCGCATTTTTCAGTCTTCCTCCTACACGTAACACTTTGTTGTCATCTAAAATTGGACACAAGCTAAGGAGGTTGCTGTTTGTAGGTAAGTCCTTTCCCAACTCCAAACATTGAATTTCTTTAAAAAAGTGAAATCGCTGTATTATTCGGACAATACAGAAAGTTGCAGCTCGAATTTCATTACTACAAAAAAGACGTATTTCTTTCTAGATATGCTACTTTAGAATTCGATATGAATCTTAATATCCAAGCAAATATGCGTTGTAACTTTGGAAATGAAGATATATTTGATATAATAGCAAGTTCCTGTACAGGTTCAGAAACTACAAATGAGACTGTTTTACGTGCATCTGGTAATGCCTCTTCATCTATAAGAATATTTTTAGATAAGGCAATCTCACTGCACTTTAACCAAGAAGGACCATTCCACCACAATTGATGAGATAATAGTTCTGCAGGAAATAATCCACGTGAAGCACAATCAGCTGGATTTTCCTTTCCATCAACATGACTCCAGTTCTCAGGTGGTAAGATGGATTGTATTTCAGAAACTCTATTGGATACGAATACTTGCCATTTTTTAGGATCTGACCTTAGCCATGACAACACGATTTGTGAATCACTCCAAGCTTGCACTAAATCAAAATTTATAACTAATGCAGCTTTTACAGACTGAATTAAGCGTGCCAATAACACTGCTGCACATAATTCCAGTCTTGGAATCGTAATAGATTTTAATGGTGCTACACGAGTTTTAGCTGTTACGAGTTTAACATTAATGTCAGAGTTATTGCAAGTTTTGATATAAATAACTGCTGCATAACCTCTTTCAGACGCATCACAAAATCCGTGAAGTTCACATCGAAAATAATCAGGTAGCAGAATTTTCCTAGGTATATTTATAGAATTCAAAAGTTTAACTTCTCTACATAGATTTCTCCAATTTCGATCAATCTCTTCTGTTACAGGATCATCCCATGATAACTTGTAATTTCCACAATTGCTGAAGGATCATTTTAGCGAGAATTACAAACGGAGCTATCCACCCCAATGGATCGAATAGTTTTGCTACGAATGACAAAATAATTCTTTTAGTCGGAACACTTTGATACTCTATTACACCGACATTACATTTGAATTCATCATTGTCCGGATGCCATTCCAATCCCAGAACTTTCAATGGTTTTGTCTTCTATTACACGATGAATATTGTCACTATCTGTGTTTGTTAAGCCAGAGGTTTTTAACAATGACGGTTCACTTGTCGACCATTTGTGAAGCTCAAAGCCACCACTTTTTAGCAGATGTTGCAATTCGTCTATCAATGCAATACCTTCCGAACTATCTTTTACACCAGTTAACATATCATCAACATAAAAATCTCTTAAAACTATATTCTTTGCCTTTGGAAAGTTCAATCCTTCATCAATCGCTAACTGACTCAAAACTTTGGTTGCAAGATATGGAGCAGCTGCAGTTCCATATGTAACTGTTTTCAAACGACAAACTTGTATTTGCTTATACGGGCTATCTCTCCATAATATTCTCTGAAAATCTCTATCTTTTTCATGAACCTTTATCTGTCTGTACATCATTTTAATATCAGCGGTTATTGCAATGTTATGAAGTCTAAATCTTAGTAAAATACAAATTAAGTCATCTTGTATTTTTGGGCCTATCATTAGCGTATCATTTAAAGAAACACCTGTGGTTGTTTTAGCGCTCGCATCGAAAACAACTCTCAATTTTGTTGTTAAGCTAGAGTCCTTCAACACGAAGTGATGTGGGATATAATAGTGTTTATTCTCTAATTCATAATCTGTGTCTGGCACTAATTCTACGTGTTCTAGTGAAAAGTACTCTTTCATAAACTGAATATACTGGTTGTAAATTTCTTTCATAGATAACAGCCTCTTCTCCAAGTATTGAAATCTTCTGTACGCCACTTCACGGGAGTCACCTAGAATATCTCTATTATGTTTGAATGGTAATGCAACTGAATAACGACCTGATGTGTCTCTAAAATGCGAGTTTTTAAAATGTTCTTCACAAAGTTTTTCTTCATTTGTTAAAGGTTGTACATTTGGAAACTTTTCTAACTCCCAGAAAGAATTTACTAACTCATCTGTGTTTGTATTCAGATGATTTACATATACTGGCTCAAAATTTGTAGTACCCGAAATTATCCATCCCAACCTCGAATTTAGAGCAAATGGTAGATCAGGACCACGTTTGACAATTTCTCCCGTCATTAAATGCAGAAATACATTTACTGGTTAACTGGTTGTGACTTGTAAAGTAATGGATCAGCTAATTGTAAATCACTGAAGTTATCGAAGATGATTGATGGCAAAGATACATAGGGAATGTTATCTGTCACCTTGTCCAGTACAAACGCTGATGTTGATACACGAATATCACTTTTAAAATGAGAAGTGAATACTAAATCGACTTCCCCATTACTTATAGTATTAAATTCTCCTAGACATGATACAGAAATGGAATTATCTTTCACTCGTAATCCTAATTTCTTCACACAATCCCTTGAAATAAATGATCTCTGAGATCCAGTGTCACATAAACATCTACACTTCACAAATTGTTGCTTAGAATTTTGAACTTTTATTAAAGCAGTACACAATAAAATGTGACTGGTTTGATTACCTTTTGCATTCGAATCATAATGAGAGGCACAAACTGTGGCTGAAACGTCCTTAGGACTCGTTAATTCATCTCTTTTAATGGATAGATTGCGTAGGCGGAGATATACTGTTTAACTGAGTTTTATTCTTTGAATTATTTACAATGTGCAAAATACTGTGATGCTTCTTAAAGCAATGTTGACATGTATTTAAACTCTTGCATTTTTTGAGCAAGTGCATATTAGATAAACAATTAAAACAGTAACGATTAGATTTTACAAATTCTATCCTTTGCTGAACCGATAAATTTAGAAATTTCGAACATTTGGCTAAACTATGATCTTCTTTACAATAACCACAACCCAAAGTAGCAACCAGAACATTATTCTTATTTTGAAACACAGATTTAGGTACCTACCTTATTACTTGTTGATTTGCTATTTTGAAGTGTTCTTGCATAGTTTTTTAGGAATTCAATTAAAGTCGTAAGTTTTGGAATTTCATTAGATTTTAACTGACGTTCCCACCATAATTTTGTAGCAAGGGTCTAATTTTTGCAAAATTAAATAAGTCATTAAAGTGTCACCAAAATTATCAATGGTTTGATTCAATACTTCTAAAGAACGAATTATTTCATTAATATTGTCAACTAAATTTAAAATAGCAAATGCTGATTCATTTTGAATAGTTGGTAAACTTAGAAAACGTTTAATATATGCAAAAATTTGTTCTCTCTTATTTGAATATCTTTCGTCTAACAGATTCCATGCTATTTCAAAATTACAATCCGAAATTTGAATGGTTTGAATAATGCGATATGCTTCACCTTTCAACGAAGCCTTCAAATACTGCAATTTTTGAGCATTAGATAAATTTGTATTATTTCTTATTTCTTACACAAGCACTGAAAAGATCTTTAAAAGCTATCCATTCTGTAATATTACCACCAAAAGTCGGTAATGTTAACTTGGGTAATTTAATATTGTCAAGAACCTGTTCTGAAATTACACTATTAGAATTATTTTTACTTATTTTGATTTTTTAATATTTTTTTTCACCTTTAAATTTCCACAAATAAATTTTATCTGTGTACTCCTGAACATTATCTATTTCGTTTTCTAATTCTTTAGTATCTGTAATTAAACTTTCGATTTCAGAATCAAGCTTCCTTAACTCAGTTTCTTTTTGTTTCAATAATTCGACACATTCCTCTAGTTCTATTAAATTAATTTCATCTGCAGTTAAAATAGTTTCAATTTTCTTTACATAATTAGTAACACTCCTGCGTAAGACCGCTCTTTTTGTTTTAAAAGTTATAAGTTCACTCATAATTGATCAATTCAAAACAGAAATTGTTCTTAAATCACTTAACACTATTATTAAAATGAAATCGAATTCTATGTTGTATTACAACATTGTTCTTAAAATTTAACAACAAATTAAACGAATTTTTGTTCAAAATCCACTTACCTCACAAAGTGGAGTAATTTTTCACAAACCATATGCATATTTGCGTTGTTAGAATACACTTAGAACAGTCACTATCTTCACTAGCTCTCCGGCTAGACTTTTGACCAACAATATGTTTCTATTAAACTTAATATGTTTCACAAACTATAATCAATCAACAAATGGACTGTATTCCTACACTTTTATTAACATTACAATAAGATGTCAGCGATGCGAAATAATTGATACAAAATAAGCGAGCCATTCTACATGGCTGTCACAAACACAATTCTATTAATCAATTATCTTGTTGCCACACATAAAGTTCAAAACTAAAAGAAGAAAAACAAAAGGAATTTACGCTGTTTGCAACAATAAAATGAAGCAAACGATACTCACATAAACACCCATATAGTAGACTTTTGTTTTGTTTCGAACTCATATGCGTAGATCCATGATTTATCACATGTGTAGATGTTATACATAGCCTTTGATGTACCTTGAACGTATTTTTCCAATATTCCCTTGCACCAATCAACACGAGCCTCTTTTTGAGCGTTTATCAGATTATGCGGGATGCAACGCGAACAAATCTTTCTTACAGCCAAATATTCATGTAATATCTTATGGATGTTTGTCATAACTAATACCCAAAGATGCCTCAATTTCATGATATGTCAGATGACGATTTTGCTTCTCAGTTCACTCACAGCTTTGATATTTTCTGGCACAACAACCAATTTTGGGCGACCTTCACGGAATTCGTCCTGGAGGGAACGTCGACCGCGATTGAATTCGTTAACCAGTTTTTTTACAGTGATGTAAGATGGTGCTTTATCGCTGTGTAAAGAATTAGGTTCATCGAAGCACTCTTGTCGTGATATTCCAAGTCGAAAGTTGTGAAAAATAATCGCTCGAAAATATTCACAAGTCAATTCCAGTTTTTGCCCGAGATGAATTTTTCAATTTACTGTAAGCAACGCAAATTACGCTAAAATGCCAAAATGTTCTAAAGAAGCTATGGTCAAAAATATCAAACTTGCGATAAGAATCATCTGCGGCCGCCTAGCAAAACTTACTGTTGCCAAGGCTAGAAATATAAATAGCAACCTTCATAGAAATGTACAAATGGTGACAATCATGATGATCATATCAGAATACACTTGCTATGTGCGATCAGATAAGCGATCCATCTTTCAAACAGACGAATCCAAACTTAGCGATGGATAAAGGCAATGCAATATTATAAAGGAGTTTTCCTCTCTTGTGAATCTGATTATAACGGTTCCTTTGTTCTAGCTTATTTATCGCAGGAATAGGTAATACATATAATGCATAAAATAAGGGTTAAATTATTAATGTAAGGTAAAGCTTTCTGTCACAAAAAAAATTTCCTATTAAAAAATGCAAACATCTTAAAAGAGGGTAAATTGTTTCATTTCAGATTCGTACAATTGCCCCGGTCAGTACAAGTGTTACAACAGAAGTTCATGCTTGCCTTTAGGAAAACTGTGCGATGGAGTCAGAAACTGTCCCCACGGTGATGATGAGCTGTTATGCGGTATGTATACGAACTATTGCTTGTAAGAAATAACTTATATGTGAAGTGACAGCAAATACCTCTGCTCCATGGAACATTTCTATAATTTCGTCTAGAGCCTAGATGGCGTAAATTCACCCATCAAAGTTATATAATTCACATAATTAAAGCCACAAAAAGTTCTGTTTCATTTTAATAAGGAAATCACAAATGATAGAATTTTGATTTCAACATCCACTTTCAAAATTAGGATATCTATAGCGCATTATAAAACAGACAGAATGACGATATTGTTACTGGAGAATGTCGACATTCTCCGAAGAATATCAACATTCACCGAGTGGGTGTATGTCCGAAAAATTTGCTGAATAACTGTATCTCCCCCTTACACTGGCAAATATCGACATTCGAAGTTCAAGAAAATTATTTTAGTTTCGTTTATAAATCATGCTTTATTATTAAAACATATTATGATATATATGAAAATAGGATAAAGCTTGTAGCAGCACATGTTGAACTGTTGAACGTAAAACGAACAATACATTCTAAATGAGAAAAGAAAATAACGCCAATAATAAACTTATGATTGATGTTATTATTGCAATAATAATCGGGGAAGGTTCGAATGTATAAAAATATAACCAAATATTCGGTCTTTTACCGACGTATTTGAAGAATGTCGACATTCTCCAACGTCGGTCTTTCACGCAACAATATCAATGATAAGGTTTGAATTTTCAGCTTTTAGAAAGAGGTTATCCTTTCCCAAAACTGCTAATGAAGTCATAAAGCCTTAAAAATAGTTAGAAATCAGATGCTTCGAATCTCAAGAATTGAAATTTTTCAACTGAATCCCTAGTAGCCGCGAAATTGAAAATAAAGATGAAAACTGTTAAATATTTTATAATAAAAATTTCTTGAATATGGTGTGATTATTAAAGAATAGAATTTTACTTAACTCCGAAATATCACACTTGCAAAGAATAGTGGCGTTCATTCCTAAGGCCACAGAAGATATGACACACACGGGCAAATCAGGTTACGCAAAAAAAAAAAAAAAAAAGTTGCTGGTGTCATGTACGAGCAAAACTACTAAGCGGTTAAAAATTTCTTTTTGTCCAAACATTGTATTTAGAATATCGTGATTTTCAAAAACTACCGAAAGACTCTCATAGAGCATCGCGGTTAGTGCATCATCGAGAGAGCGTGTTGAGCTCCGGAAACAACTGAACGGAGAATCAGGAGCTGTGCTCTGTGTGTCGTCAAGTGCATATCGAGTTGTAGCGTGGAGAGTCTCGAGAGTACGTGGAGTTCCGAGAACGACCAAGCAGAGTCGGGAGCTGTACTCCGGAAAGCAGAGTCGGGTGCTTTGCAGGAAGCTGTCTCCACCGTGATAGCCTGAAAATCTGAAGGCTGTGACGCTGATTGTTCCAGCGTGTGTATAGTAGATCTTCGACTACTGTAAAAAGTGTTATTGGAGTTGTCCTGATTATTATTGGCTAAATAAAGTGTTTTTCGATACTTCATCAAGTGTCGTCGTTATTCACTCCAAATCTACGAACCCCGTACGAACGTGAAGGAAGAAAATAACGTAACAACTGGTGTCAGAAGAAGATAAAAACGCAACAATATTTATCTTGCAAAACTGAATCAAACTGTTGTGGATTAAATAACTAAGCTATTTGAAAGCAACAGATGCAGTTCTAAAGAATATTCGCTTCTTTCTTTTAGGTCGAACTGATTTAAGTAATAAAAATGCATTTAATCCATGATTTATCTAATTAAAATATTAAGTATTTTCATAGAATAACGTTATATATTTTCTTATTCTTTATTTCATATTTTGTAAAATTTAAATGAATTTTTAATTAACAAACTCAGTAATTTGAAAGCTAACAATGGTAAAACTGTACTGGCTGCAGCAGGCGAGACTGTCTATGGGAAATTCTACAAATATTAGTTTTTAAATATTTTGTGATTTTGTAGTTGAATTTTACGTAGTGTAACTGCCACATAAGCAACATAATATTTGATAAATACACTTAACACATAAAATGTTGATAATAAACAAACAAACAAACAAAAAAGATTTGTAAGCCATCTTACTAAGAAAACTGAAGACATATGATGAACTGAGAAAATATTGCAATAAATAAAAAAATGTATGCCACACTGCGTTGTGTATCCTAAACATTTGCTGCTATCTGCTTTTAAGACTTTTGTGATTTTGCTATTTAATTGTGTATGCCATTTAGTGAGAAGAAAACGATGCTTAATAATAAAGCTAAAATGACAAAAAAAAAAAAAAATGGTTAGAAGGAGTGAGTGCGACAGCAGACTGATAGACTGCGAGTTCAGCGAGTGCTTAAAACCTTAATAAACCCTTTTTGCTACCGTTAAAATTTGAAACCTTTTTTTTTCTGGTATATTCTCTATCATCACTTATCTTTAATGTATAATTGTTATTCATAGGCGTGAATACTATGATTCTTTTCGTGTTTGATATGCATTGTTTTCTATTTATCCTGCCAATTTTTAGTAATATTTGCTCATATTTAATGTTAAAGATCTGGTTTGCCCCGAAAACTGCATGTGCGTCGGCTTATTTATTTCGTGTATGCGTCAGAATGCATCCGTGCTACCAAGTAATCTACCTCATGAAGTTCGAAAACTGTAAGTTGCCAGACAATTGTATCATTCAGTATTATTTTAATAATTTCATTGTTTTATTATATAAAAGTAATTGCAAATGTCGTTTTACATATAAATATAATATTTAATGATACTAATAGAGAATTGTTTTCAATATTATTATTATTAATCAATTATATCTAATCTATATGATTATAGTTATCAGTCAGTTACATCTAATGCAGAATACGAGTAAAACAGTTTTAATATAATTCTATAAATATGAAATCAGAACAACGAACTACATTAGAATATCGGCTATAATAAACCCACAGTTGAAATATTACTTAAAACGAAGCATATTCGAACAACTACCTCAGTACTATATTTAGAAATTTCATTATAGCGGAACAAAATGTATAATTACTTAGATAATTAGTAAAGAGCTATTCTCAAATTATAAATTTGGAAAATAAGATAATTTAACCAAAAACATTGAGTATCATTTTTTTTATTAATCATACAAATATTTATTGATCAAACTATTTCCTTTCAATAAAATATAATTTCCATAAATAGATATAATGTTTTGCGAATATCACCATTCTGAAATCTGTCAAGTGAGAAGGATACATTTTTAAAGGTTAAAAACCTTTGAAACTGGCAAAAGTCTTGAACTAGAGCTAATGGACATCCGAAATATTTATATTTAATTATAAGCAGCAATATATATTAATTCGAAATCTCTTAATTATAAATAGCATAACACAGGAATTTTTATTTTTACGAAGAAATCTGTTTTTTATGTTTAACATTCATAATATTTTAAGCAGTTCATTTATCAGAGCTTGTAGGGTTTTTCTTATTTTGCATAACAAATTTATTTGAAGTTTGGTTCCTATTCTAAACTTCTCAACTTCCCCTCACATTCTCTCGCCAGGATGTAAATTTAAAGTTAAGTGAAGTGCTTATTTTACACGTGTGAATATCTCAGTTTATTCAGAGCGTGTTTCGCTAGCCAAGCGCACGTTTCGTTGTTATTTCGCTGTTACAACAGTAAGCCTTCTGGCCTTATCAGATTTAGCCTCACGCCGATTAGGTTCTTGTGAGTCCACTTCTTAGGCGTAACTTAAGTGCTATTTCCTACTATTTATTTCAGGTTTGACTTACATTATATGTTTAGTTTCCACCGCAAGTTGACCGTTAGTACGCACTACGTTATGTTAGTACGCACTACGTTATGTTAGTAACGCACATAGACCGTGTCTTTTTCTGTTAACTATTTTGAATTAATAAAGGGTTATTTTTACCCGTCGTCTGAGTCAGTACTTTTATTCACGCTTGTGCGAGAATTCGCCAGGTCATTATAGGATCTGTTCTAGTTTATGTGGAATAAGAGAGACAGACTCTATAAGCTGAAGTCCCGGAAAAGAATCAAACTATGACAGTTAGGTCCCAGGATACATGTCCTTATGCAGAACCAGAGAATGACGGTAATACCCCCGTATTACCGTCATTCTCTGGATCTGCACAATTTATAATTCTACCTCTAGCTCAATAGAGGGGTACCTCTAGCTTTGTATACTCTTTAAGTGTTTTGAACCAGGTACTCTCATCATACCATGACTAGACTGCTGTCTTCTCAGAATTGCCACATTGCAATGCATGATTCTTCAAATGGGGTATTCTCTTAATTTAAAAAAATAATAATTACTTTAAGTTGACTTTGGAATTTAATGCCTTTAAAATCGAATTTACTGATGATTCATTTTAAAATGAAATTTATTGGATGTGTTCTCTTCCAGAGATTTCAGTTTCAATCGTCTTGATTTACATAAAACGGACTTTTCCAATTACTGGACACTTGGAGAACTGTAAGACATTTTTATTTTTCTGCTAATTCATTGTACATGCTTATACACGTAGTTTGGAAATTTTATTTTTCGCTAAATATTATACATTTTTAAGACTCCGATGCAAAAGGCAACTGCATTTAATTTTATGGAGGTAAATGTCAGTGCTAAGTCATTATATTCTATTTTAACGTAGCATAATTTTTCTTTTAATTTCGTTTTTCCCCTGACAGCTAGTTATGTTGAATTTCTACATATATTCATGTTTTTGAAAATTGCAACTGCATGAAGGAACTAATAGAATAAAATAAAACATATAGGAGAAGTAAACCTGACACCGACGAATACGATTATAAATGTAACATAAATTCGAATACCTGAATGCCATCTGAGAACTCTGCCGTCTGAATGCCATCAAGTCTAAAATGCCATCTGAGAACTCTGCCGTCTGAATGCCATCAAGTCTAAAATGCCATCTGAGAACTGTTGAGAATACAGATAAGTGTATCGTTCATCATTGACTTAAAAAATATCCTATAAGAGGCAGTATACCTCGTCAGTATTAAAAGCACCATGAAAATAATTAAAAATTTTAAAGGGATCCACAAATCATCCGCCTGCGAAATGTAGATTTTCACTCCATAAAACTGCTTGTCCCTGAAGGTGTAGTGATAACTAACAGAACCAGGGGATCGAAGAAAGTTGTATTGCTCAGAATTTAAGCAGAGATCCATGGTATGTGGCAGTCCAGCAGGACTTTACACATCTCATCCGCAATGCAAACGAATCGTGCAGCTTTATTGATAGTGTTGACACAGTATTAGAACACTACTACAGGTACTGCATTATCTGTTTTCACGATTCGACAGCATCTGTTTCTCGATTTTCTGCAGATATTCCTTTGTTGAGAGTTCTTTTAACCGTTACGATATCGACGTTTCGGGCTAGAGCAGGCACATGCACGTAAACACTTCTGTGTAAATCAACAACAGACTACCTTTTCTGATAAGCTTCGCTTTAACTTGAATTGCAATGGTCCGCGACACATACCAGGGCTTTTTTCCGTCATGCGTTTTAAGATCGTCATATTAATCGGAAGACCAAAATATCGTGAGAGAAGCTCTTCTTTAACATTACCGATCACAGTTGCTAAAAATTTCAATAACAATCGGTATATCAGTAAGTGAGGCTAAGGTTTTACACTTCAAGTCAGTACCCCTGATAAAAATGTCCCATAGAAACAAATAAAATTCTCTACTGGTACCAGCATATTTCTATTAGATTCTACTTAATTGTATTTGTTTCTCTTATTCTGTATTGTTTTTTCTTACTGGTATCAATAGAATTTTAGTGAATATAGCAGCTGTTTCAAATTCTGTCATCAACTTGATATGTTCAAAGCAATTTAGCAGGCTGCACCTTAGAACAATATCAAAAGCCTATTTGCTTAGATGCCAACGATGTATAGAATCTCTTCTAAAATATTGATTTTGTGCTAGAAGTGCAGTTTTGTTGGTCTGAATTTTTAATAACTGTTAAGTGCCATAAATTTCGTTCTAATTTCATTATACTTTTCTGGAGTGGTAATTTTCGAAAACGGAAATACATGTGAAGACCGAAACAGTTTTTCATTTTTGGCGGCATTACTGAATGGAATTTTTAACTAGGAGTGGTAATTTTATTGTAGACATGATTTATAATCAGTTTAGTGTATAAATATTAATCTCCTCTTTTCCAATAGATGTCATCAGTAGAAGCGCTTGCATGTAGGTACACCTGTATTTAAACAGACTCAAAGCAACCTGTACAAATAGTACCTGATATCTGTCTAGAACATAAACTAACACTAAGCACAAATAAACGTCAACAAACAACACAGTAAAGCACAAATAAATATAATTATTTTAACCTTAGTATAAAAGTCAAGTTTTGTGCCTCAAAACAGCATTTAAGTGAAGTTTCACTTCATCATTTTATTGGAAAGAAAACTGATGCAGAAACGTATCCTTAACAGATAGAATTTTATGGTGACTTGCTTCATTGAATAAGAGCACAGTTTGCAAAACATAGTTTCGACAGCTTTAAAATAATGTTTTGAACTCGCATGTGAAATAGCGTGGAAACAAACCAAAGCATTTCAACTGCTGCAACTTTGTTCGACCAATGTTAAACGTTGCAGACAACAGTCTGAATGATGCACTGAAGTGGAAACGTCTAGAATATGCCGAGGTGACAGGATTCCTTTCCAGAATGACAAGTGCGAAGCCAGTCAAGGAAACTTTAGAAGCTCTTCGCTCAGATGTGTTTCCTCCATGGGTATCTCCTTTGGTTGCCCCACTTGATGTTGTTCCTTCAGATTACCACTTATTTCGATCCGTGCACATTGGCCTTACGGGCAGCAACTTGGCTCTTATCAAGATATCAAAAATTGGCTTGATGACTGAAAAAAAAAAAAAAAAAAACAGACGACCTCCTTCATGGAATCAGTCTGATGTCTGATAGATCTGATAGACTGTCTAGCAGCAGTTTCAGGCAGCATACTATCTATGAGGCAGTCTGCCTGATTACGCGCTTTGCCTAAAAATGCCAGGACCACTTCACGTTAAAATGGAGTACATATTTTCCTGGTACATATAATGAAATGCAGCAAAGTGAAGTTGGGCATTTTCTGAACAACCTGTCGAACCTAAAATGTTCATCATCGGTAAACTGCGTAAGAAAACTAGCGAAAAGAAATTTTAATATCACTGAAAGACGAGGCAGATTGAAGTTGCAGTTAGAGCTTAAATATGAAGCTCATTTATCACCGACGAGATCTTTAGGCCATAGATTTTTAATTTTTATTTGTTTCTACTTCTAATATACACATTTTTTCTTGTATTTTTTAGAGGCAGATTAAAAATTAGAAATATCATGTATATTTCTAATTGTTTGTAAGGAAGTAGTGTAAGTTAAGCATTTAGTTTATGGTCTAGAACATAAGACTGGCTTAGCTTAGATGCTTAATATTCTCTCAATTATTGTAGACCCGCAGATATTTAGTTTCTGTTAATTTTGTACTAGCTTAAATGCTCAATCATCTATATAAAGTTTTAATTATATATATGTTTTAGATATACGTAAAGTATTTCATAAATCTTAAAAACCTGTGAATACGAAAATAAATCCTTATCAAAACAAACTTATCAAAACTTATCAAAACTTACAAATAAATATAATTATTTTAACCTTAGTATAAAAGTCAAGTTTTGTGCCTCAAAACTTAAAAATCTAAATGTTCCTCCTTTTCACATACATGCATTTTCAACTTAGGATCTTAATGGAATCCTTAAAGTATTTGGATTATTAAATTATGTTACTTAGGGCTACCAACCATCTATTATACATCCGCCGGTAAGGTGTTGCCACCTGTGCGAAACACAAATCCTTTGAAATTTTAAATTAATTTTACTTGAAACAAAGATTTTTCAGATTCGTTAATTTGGAGTTTATAATATGATGGCGAGATATGACAACAGTTTCCCTCAAATTATCTTCATATCTCTTTCTCCATTTCATAAAAAAATGCAGCAGTCTTTCTACCATATAAAACAACTTTTCAGCAATCTTTCATCAGTACAGTAATCTTCTCTTCTGCAAAACAATATTTTTGCAAAGAAAAGATAAGTTCTATTTAGTTGACCATTTAAAATAATTAACAAAGATGTATTTTACTTCACAAATGAAATTTGGCGGGTTACTTTTCAATGTGCGATGTTTTTTTAATAATGTATTAATAAAAGTTTTCTTTTATTTGCAGGATACTACAATATAACCATCTAAATTCTATCCCAGCAAAACGATTTGTGCCTCTGAGGAATTTGTACAAATTGTAAGGAGCTTTAAATAATCTGTATTTTACCATGTATTTCTACATCATCCATCAATGTTTATATGTTCTACGTATTTTTCAGTTTTTATATATTTACATATGATTCATATTGAATTTTAGTATCGAAATAATTTCTACTGCAGCGAAATTGAAAACCTGTCCACATCAAGTAAATATCTTATTGTAAACTGAATTGCGTTTGTAATAATTATACTGTCTAGATTTTACTTTGCTGGGTGTCAGTGCAGGAGTACTGTCAATATAGATATACACCATCTGTCGTCTAACGGTCATATTATGTCTGTATCAGTGTTCTGTTTAAGTTGTTAAAATATGTCGTTTCCGGAAAAGTTTTCGGAATATTTTATTGTTGAATTGTACTTTGTTTTTGTTAGCACAATGCACCCAGACATAAATATACAGTTTATGGGCAACAGTATTAATCAGAAAGAAAACCAACGTCAGTCATTACTTCTACATGTAAAGAAAATTTCAAACGAATACCCGAAAAAGGGACGTATACTTGATTTGTAAAGTTATATCGTTGGTAAAAAGAGAAATTACTCCGACGCAAAAGTCAATTGCAGAGTACTTAAATATATCTGTAGCAGCAATAAATAAAATAATAAAACAAGATTTACACATTAGGAAAACCAAAAAAACATAATGTTCATGTGCTTTTGCCGAGGCATGCGGCTTATCGCAGAATGATTTATAGAACTCGGTATGAAAACTAATTAGCATTAGATAAATTGAAATGCATTGTTACACTGACGTCACAATACATTGTGACCCTCGATGAAGCATGGGTTTACTTAAAGAACTGCAACAAGAAAGGTCTGTTTATTATCGAAAACAAAGAGAAAAATATGTACGAACCCAGGTTCGTCAATACAAAGAAAGTTTCAGTAAGGCGCTTATGATTGCTTGCAATAGAGGAAAGGGGGAAAGCTAAACTCAATGTACTATTAGACAAAAGTTTTACGTCCCATACTTACAGAAAAAATTCCATTTCTTTCTCCCAGTGACTTTCAAATAGTGAAACATCATCAAGACACATCAAGTCAGACTTCGAAAAGTACCGCTGCATTTCTTTAAAAAATGAATACTGATACATATATTGCCCTTTCAACTTATTCCTGTAAAGTCCTCTGGAGTTTCGCCTATGGACTATTATGGCTTTTTTTTAATGGCAGATTGTGGACAATTACAAATGTAACCCAGTCCATTAATCTATACAAGGCCAGATGTGGTGGTCTGTTTGTTATGGAGGCACCTAATAAGTGGGCCACCAGCGCCTTTCCTATGAAGGGGCGGACAGTTACAACCATGCTTCTCCGGGATTCGAACCCAGGCCCTTCGGCATCGCAGTCAGCTTCCCTGACCACTATACCGATTGGGCTATTATGGCTTTGGTCTTTGGAAAAGTGCTCTTTCTAAGCACAAACCCATTACGAAGGACACTGGAAAGTTTTGGAAGAGCAATGGTAATTAAGTAAAGATTACTTGTACTTGCTTTCTGTGATGGGCGCAATTTTTCTATTATCCTTGTAACACGTACAGAATAATGAGAACACAAGCAGCAGAGCCTGGTTTATCTGTACTAATCGTGCCGGCACCATTTGTAATAACACATGTAAGGATTATGTTAATTTTATTAACAGTTAAATGTTGATTTAACGTTCCTTTCCTGTCGATTCTTAACTTCAGATTACTACTTCCGGCCAGAACGTAGTTTTAGAATCACGTCTGAATACATAATGAGGATGAGCGGTATTTAACCGCGAAGTTCTTCGGTCTTAGAGAGAGAGATACCAGGTATTCTGGCTGCATGCGTCTGCCTTTTTAGGCTACTCTCTTGTAAGCTATTATTATGCTCTTCCTTACTTTAGGCCCTTGATAGCTTCGCAGTCTATTAACATTAAGGGGCCAACTCTAGTAGAATCTTGATAGCTTCGGCTATACCTCTTTAGTTTAGATTAGTTTAGTATTAGTCTTAGTCTCTTAAGTTCAAAGCCCAAGTGTCGGCTTTATTGTACACTTCAAGATGGAGTTTTGTTTAACTTTATTTGGGATAATAAAGAGCTAGTTTACCCTTCTGTCGTGTTGTTTCCTGTCACACGAACTCAAGAGATTTTTCGCTTATCAGTTCTTAAGATTCTTCACTTACAACAGTAACTCAGCATTACACTGTGAAGAATCCTACACACTTATATTAAATCCATAGTAGTAACAATAAATGCTAAATAAAATAAATGTACTGGTAAATAACAGTATTATTATATAGTATGTAAATAACAGTATTATTATATAGCATGTAAATGACTATATTGCAATACATGTAGTATGTACCAACGTTTTCTTCTTTAGCCATAGTTTCCACTACGTTATACATTATTTAAAAAATCTGAGTATAAATTTGTAGATAAATTATTATGTTTCATGTTCAAAAATCCCACTTTTTAAATGTAGTGTCAACATAAGCGGCTGAATTTACATTATATACTCATATATTTCTTCACAAAATGGCAAAAATTCACTGCGGATGTTTCATAACTCTAGCAGTAGAATTCAGTGGTACTATTAGTAGATACTAGATAGAATTGTAGTACTGTTTAGTAGAATCTTTAATGTTTCCCTTTCTGGTAGTTTAGAAGTCTCAGATCAGTCTCTTAGTTCTACACAGTTTTTAACTAGCCCATAGTCCACCAATGGATATGAGTACGTAAACGTTACGAGATAAAAAGAAGTTTATCTATCTGCTTACACAAAATACTTTGATATTGTTTGTTACCATTCAGAAATATGTATTTATCGCTAATAAATGAAACAATGAAAAACGTTATTTTAAAACAAAGTAAGGTTAACTACTTTTTTATTCATTTTATTCAATATCGTTTCCTCTAATGGTTCGGTTAGCTCGATTCTGTTTAACGTTAAATGAGATTGCATAAATGGATTTTCTAAACATTTTACAAAACCGTACATAAATAACGCGATATTTTCTTACAGATACCTTTGTAAAACACAGGGGATATATTCAATACTATTTTCAGTGTTTGATAACTCGCTCACTTTGAACGAATTACCTGTGTCGTCTTTTTCGTAGTTTTAACTCAAGATGTTTTGCCTTTCATTTAAATATTTGCTGGTAATTCTATAAAAGGGTAGAAAAGAGATATCTAAAATTCCGAAATATGAATAATTAAGCTTTGTAATATTTAATTTGTAATATTAATTTGTACTTGAAGCTTCATGTGATGAATGCATTATTTGGTATTATCTAATGCATGGAATTTAAAAAAGATCAGTTCAAAGTTTAAAATCAGTGTATTATTAACGTCTTCTTAATATCGAGGTAAGGAACAACTAAAATAAGGAATGTAAATATATGCCCCAAAATGATATTATTACCTTTTATCAAATGCTTATGTTTTATGTTCTCGAACAGCTAATGAGTTAGAAGAATATAATCTTGCTTTAGAATATGATCTTTTAATTATTTGAATTTTAGAAGAACATAATCTTTTAATTAGCGTAATATAATCTTGCTTTCTGAGTTCTAAAATAGTACAAGCAAGTAAATCATAACATTTATAAAAAAATCATTTTTCTTTTAAATTTTTAGGGATCTCAGCAATAATAGAATAACATTTATCGAAGCGTCAGCTTTTGAAGGACTTACGAATGTTCGATTACTGTAAGTATTTTGCAATTCACAGAGTTTTAAGTTTTCAGTTCTCATTTAAATTTAGATAGAACGCAAATAATAAATTTATATATATATATTTAACTATAAAAATATTTAAAGTGTTGTTATAAATATAAAATTTATGTAATTATTTTAATAGGGTCCTTGAAAATAATCCCACTCTCACAGAAATTGAAGCGGAAGCTTTCAATGGTCTGACTAACTTACCTACTCTGTAAGATGCTTTATTTACATTTTTATGGAGAACTTTTGTTTTCTTGTACTGTCTTGCAGTTTTATTTCCTAGCGATTAATTAGCAAATTGTATTTTAAACAATTATACAAACATTACTTTTTAGGTAAGAGTAAAATACATTTTGATGACTTAGTTTCTTAAAATTGGAGAATATGCGAGATAAATATAGTCTAACTATTTTGTATTTTGTAAGCGATCTAAAAGACAGCAAGTTTTGTAAATGTAATCATTTTGTAAATCACTATAGATATTCACAAAATTAGTATAGAGTGTTTCACTAATTTAATTAACTTCTTCGTCGTCCGTAACGCGATTAGCTCGTTCAAGTGAACCTTCCGCAGGGCGGCCGTAACGCGCCTGAAGCGTTCTTCTGCAGTGAGAGATGGCTTCAACGTCTACTCAGCAGAAAAAGAGAAAAAACGTTTGATGAAAAAGGATATACGTTTGATGTGTACAGTCCATAATAACTCAATGATTGATGTTGGAACACGAAAAAGAACTGTAAAAAAACCAATAATTGTAAAAGATTACAACAACAAAGTGGGAGGAGTGGACCGCCTGGATCAGATGTTATCAAATTATCCTGCTGTTAGAAATTAGCAGAGATATTATTATTTTTTCATTATGCTTTATTTCCTTATAATATTCATTGACATTCATCCACTACGAAAGTCATGTATGGAAAGTTATGATGTACAGAGAAAACAACATTACACGCTACGAAAAACAGACGGCCTCTGGGGATGAGGAATTTTCGCGGATAGGAGAGGTCGGCGAAAGGGTTAAATGCATTTTTTAGGAAAATTATGTTTAATAGATCGCAGCTGGCATGAAATAGTATGCGCATTCATTCACAAATCAAAATAGTATGTGCATGAAGATACTGAATTTTGCAGGGTCTATTTTCAATGCTTTCCAACAGTCTAGTGTGATGAGCTAGTTCTATTAAACCTCCAGGACAGTTATTTTTCTACATTTATTGATGGACTAATCTATGTCCAAATATTCTGCGACTGTTGTTGTTGTCGCCATTTTTTCACTTCGTGAGTGATCTTTCAAAAAATCTTAAACTTTTTTAATTAGTTTCTTCCTAAAACATTCCATCTACAACATTTCATACGACTCTAATTCATAGAAAGACCCGAAAACTGCATTTTTCTTGTTAAAATAAGTACAGAATATAATGTTTTATTAAGGGGGCTTATACACCTTAAAGCCCTCATGATCTTCGAATATGTGACTGTTGCAAGAATTGGGATATTTTATTCATTTTAAAAGCAATTACTTCCAACCTTTTACAGCTGACTACATAATATAGCTGCTTTGGAAACTAGTAACCAGAAAGTTTGTGTCGCCACAAATATTTTTGTAATTTAATCCTCTTTGTGACAAAATATTTCGCCCTGTTTCCGCCTTGCGCGCATGATATTTTAAAAATGGCTAATGGTACGTACTTGAAATTGGATGGAATTCTTTTTATGAGCCCTATCTTCTAACTGAACCGAAAATCTGATAAATATTTTAATATTAAAAAATTTTATGGACGGAAATCTTACAAATTTTTTAATAAAATACATTTTATAAACTCAAACTCCAAATAAAATAAAAATTTAACATGAATTTTTTAGAATTTTAGGTTCACAGTAGTTTCCAAATGTTATAAAATCTATATATTAAATATGGAATTAAATTATGCGGCAGAATATTTTAAACTGTGCGCACAAGGTGGGAATATGACGAAAAATGTTGTCACAAAGCGGATTAAATTATAAAAATATCTGTCGCAACACAAACTTTCTGATGACTATTTCAGAAAGCAGCTATATTATGTAGTCAGCTGTAAAAAGTTGGAAGTAATTGCTTTTAATATAAATAAGTTATCCCAATTCTTGCAGCAGTCACCTATTCGAAGATCTTATGGGTTTTAAGGTGTATGAGTCCCCTTAAGGGAACTTTATTTTGAAAACAGTGTATCTGTTACAACATCTTGTCCTATCTTTGCAATTCCTGTCACAGCTATCACTTTTGTGTCAGCTACTTATGCATTACTCTCTACTAAATATAATTGTAATTAATTACGTACATAATAAACTTCTTGAGGAACTGTCTTTGATTTCTTGCACATCACTCCTAACTGAGATATTATCCATTACACATTCACAGAAATACAAATGTTTTAATGTCACTTTATCAGGTTCAGTGTTCCTTCTTACTTGCTTTGGGAACATTAAATGACCTGACTCGGAACAGGGAGCTTACTAAAGCTATGTTCAATAAATGTGGGAAGTAGACAATACACACAAGAAGGGTATACGAAACCCTTTATTTTTCTCTCTTTACAATGATTTCCGGACTTCGGAATACAGAGACCAACCACTTGTGGTCTGAACGTAAGAATATAAAATATTAACTAAACTAACTTTGGATTAATAAACAAGTGCCTACTTGAAGATTGGCCGTATATAACTGAAAGCCGTATGTAGTACAGAGAACTGCTAACACTACAATACGTTTAAAATTATCAAGAGGATTAACCTCTGGCCTTGAAGGCAACCAGCAACCGAGTAAAACTGCTATGGCAAGCGGCCTGCTCCTAATCACTCCTTCATCTCTCTTGCTTGGCAAAAAGCCACAACTTAAGTACTTGGCGTTCGCAAGACAAATTTGCATAAATAAGTTAAAGCTTTTAATTCCGGCCGGAAGTGGAAAATAAGAAGCGATAGTAAAGATTTAAAATAAAATAAACGTTAGTAAAACTTAAGATCCTTACAACTTTACTCCTTCAACTGGACAGCTGGTCTGCATGGCAGTTGGGCTTATTCACTGTTAAAACAGCCCCATCAACAGCTCTAATTTCAACCTATTATGTTCTCAAGAAGCTGTTATTGTCGGTATAGTGGTATAGTAGCATTGCCTGTATAGTAGTAGTTAGGGGAGCCAACTACGGTACCGAAAACCTAGTTTCGAATCCCGGAGAAACCATGGTTGTTTGTAAATGTATACTGTCGGTGCGGCATGGCGGCACTCTAAATATGCGGAGAGCCGAAAGTCCTCTCGTGTGGATGGTAGAAACAAAATTGTGACCAACAACTAAAACAAAAATTGTATTCTTCCTGCCACTGTCTCCGTTGCCCCTGGATTTATATCACTGATCCCGGCATTGGAACTTGCTCTCATGTGTGAGCTTTGTACGAAATATGCATTGTACACCTTGCACAAAAAAAAAAAAAAGGAGACAGTTCTATATCTCCCGTTCTACTGAACCATTTATTCAAATTTAACTTGCGTTTTCCATGTCTCGAAAGCACGATTTGGGATATATATTAGATTTATATACAACATTGTTCTAACGTAGGTATTTTAACATACAATCGGGCGTTTATGCAGTAACATACGAATTTCTTTGCGTATTATACAATTTTGCAGATTATACAATTTTGAAGATTTGCAATTTTGCAGATTAAAATATGATAGCAATACCTGAAGCTCCAAAATATTTCAGTTTTTATTCATTTAAATATTACATCAACCAGACAGCCGATTTGACTTAAGTATGAATCTAATACATTTAGCAAAGTTTAAAATTTTACAGTTACAATAAATATTTTATTTTAACAGGAATCTGACCGGAATATCTCTTAGAATTTTGAGAAGGAGTACTTTTAACGGAATGTCCAGCCTTAGAACTTTGTGAGTAATCTTTAACATACATATTTTTATTTGTTGTCGAACAAAACCATGAGAAAATAACCAGGAGAAATGCTTTTAAATTTATTTGCAACGTCTAATTAACCTCTTTTAAGGAAAAATTATTAGCTATTAAAATCAAAATAAAATTAACACCGAAATGCTTAGCTAGTAGGTAAGAGGAAGTGCCTGAATTTTAGGTAGGGTGATACTGTCTGAAATATTTTTAAGTCCTTAATGAACAATCTATAGCTTTAGGTAAAATTTTTCATTATCTTTTATCTCGGTTTGAATGTACTCAATGTAGTCAAAATTTCCGACAAGGTAAATAAAACTTCAGAGCTTTTAATGACGATTATTTTATTTCAATAATTTTAAAAATAATTTTCTCTTTATACATTCTAATTATATTGAAATATATATTATTCATTAGGAACCTTTTACCTTACTTTCTGTATTTTTAAAGAAAACTTTTTCATCTTCTTCTCACATTCCTTCTTCTGTATTTAGTTTTAAAAGCTTCGCTGGGATATTTTTTCCCATTGTTAATTACCTAGCTTTTGTAAAGTGCTTCAATATCATTTTCATGGTTATTCACGTGTATTTAATATGCATGTAATAAATAACTTAAAATTTTCATTCTAGAAACCTACAGAATAATAACATAGAAAAAGTTGAAACTGGTGCTTTTGTAGGACTTCACTCTGTAACAGTCTTGTAAGTAAGTTAATGTTTATTACAGAAGTAAATTAAATTATTATTCTAAATATCTGTAATAATATCTTTCACAGAACTTCAAAGCTGTTCAATGTAAACTAAATTTCGATTCTTATTGATTCAATTAATTAATATCTTTATTTTTAAGATTTTTCTCAAATTATAAGAGAAACACGCCAATCTAAAACTCAAAATTAGGCAAAATCACAACCTTCTTTTGGCTTAGATTTTTGAACGAATTCTATATCGGTTTTGGCAGAATTATTTTTGCTTCTTAAAACAGGAACCTATGTCTGATTGCCTTAGAAACCGATAGTTTTTGTTCAAAATTTACACCAAAATAAGGTAGCTGCTTTACCTAATTTTAATGCATAAAACATTTTACCTAATTTTAATGATCAATAAAATTTACCTAATTTTAATGCATAAAACATTGATCAATAAAATTTACCTAATTTTAATGCATAAAACATTGAAAATAAAAATTATAATTTTAATGCATAAAACATTGATCAATTAAATTTACCTAATTTTAATGCATAAAACATTGGTCAATAAAATTTACCTAATTTTAATGCATAAAACATTGATCAATAAAATTTACCTAATTTTAATGCATAAAACATTGATCAATAAAATTGGATATTATGAGTGTTATATCCAAACAAAAATATTTTTGTTTATATGTTCTGAACTGCTGAAAATTTATTTCAGAGATATCAAAGGAAACGACATTGTAGACTTTACATCTCACATCTTCACTGGGTTGAAATCTTTAGAATACTTGTAAGTATTAAGTGAAATTCATCCATCTAATAATTTCTGTTTATTGGGATAAGTTGTAATATTTACATATTTTATCTACTTCTTATTCAGTTATTTCAGTGTTTTCGCTTTGAGTTGTAAAATATTTCTTCGATTAATTTTATTAATTAATCAAGCAAATTTTCATTTACACTTCTCAGAAAATACATTTTTATACATCCGTTTTGTAGAAAGTTTTAGGGTTTTAAAAATTTTATAAATATTAAATAACTAATAACAAAAGGTTTCTGATTTTTTATTTCATTATTTCTAATTATAATATTAGGTTTTCTTAGTTATACTGCTTAACAGTAAATTCTGATCACTGCTTAAGCCCATAAGATTATACCTTGAATCACATTTTTAGTTGGACGGTAAATCATCCTATAATCTTCATAATCCTGTTTTCTTTCGAAAAATCAAGCACGAAAAGAGAGCATTGACGGTCTTTAAAAAACTCTGTTCCTAGGCTCCTAGGCTCCCAAGCACCCTTAATCAGATTGTGTAAGTAAGCTAGATATTAAAAAAGGATAGCTATATTTTTAGTTGAGTGAAATATTTTCAAGAACATTTGATGCGTAAATTGTGCATCTAATCAAATACTTGCTCATAAAGTCAGTAGATAATACTAAAATTTCGATCTAATAAAACGTTTTGAACGTACAATATTTGAGCTTCAACTTTCTTAAGGCGACCATCTGCTTTCAAAATATTATGGTTGGTGTTCGCTTTAGAAAACATGACTTTCTGATTATGTTCAATTCCGTTAACCAGCGCTTTTTCAGAATGTATATTTTCAATAATGGGCATTTTAGAAAACAGTCATCTTGATAAATTTCATGATATGTAGGTTTAAAATAAAAATTATGTAATTTCTTTCTTCTGTAATTAAAAAGCATTAATTTTGAAACCTTTTCTCAGCTTTATTTTTAGAATAAAATAGTTTTATTTAAATACTGTTTGTTTTAGGTACACTGATTCATACACATTCTGTTGTATGGCATCTTCTCTAGTATCACTACAGAACTGTCACCCTCCTCCAGATGAGATTTCATCCTGTGAAGACCTGATGAGCAGTCCTGTGCAAAGATCCTTCTTGTGGGTGCTGGGAATCATTGCCTTGGTTGGTAATCTTTTCGTCATCATCTGGCGTTCGAAGACCAAGGATTCAAGTAGAATAAGTTCAACCCTTATCCTCAGTCTGGGCTGCGCAGATTTTCTCATGGGAATATACCTCATTATCATTGCTAGTGTGGATGTTTATTACAGAAGTATTTACATTGAAAACTCTGACAAATGGAAGAGAAGTACCCTCTGCAAAATTTGCGGCTTCCTGTCAACTGTGTCCACAGAAGTTTCGGTGCTTACTCTTGCCTTCATCACACTAGATAGACTAATTTGTCTTTGCTTTCCACTCTCCCAGAGGAGGTTCAGTCTCCAGTTTACATACAGACTAATCGCTTCATCATGGATTATAGCTGGTGTTATGGCAGCCATACCTCTGGTAGTAGAACCGTATTTTCAGGGAAGATTCTATGCACGCTCTGGCGTTTGCTTGGCTTTACACATCACAAATCACAGACCAGCAGGCTGGGAATATTCAGTAGCTATATTTTTCTGCCTGAATTCAATAGCATTCATAATAATCGTTTTGGCATATCTTTACATGTACATTACCATCAGGCAGTCGTATCAGAACATGAGTCGACTTATGTCTCGGCAAACAAGGGAAAACAAGATTGGACGACAAATGGCATTGATCGTTTTGACTAATTCCATGTGTTGGTTTCCTATTATTGTTATGGGAATGTTGGCCATGTCTGGAATCAATATAACAGGTAACAATTATTTTAATTACTTCGTTTCTGTTAATACATCGACATCTATGTGATCCGTGCAGATAATTCTATATTGTGTTTCACACATGAATACATATTTTGTTTTAGCATTCTTCTCTATTATTTTAACAATATTCTTCAGGCATATAAACTACGTTATGCAATTGAGAAGGAATCTTACTACAGCAATTTTCTGCTAAAATTCAGTATTGTATTAAGAACACTACAAAGCTATTAGAAACATGAAAATTGTAAAATTTGAAGCTAATAAAAAGTATGGCTTAAACTTATACACGTAAATACCGCATAAGCTCTACATGATGAGAATTCTCTTCTGATTAGTTTAAAAATGTGCTCAAAAGATTAAAATATTATATATCTACATTCTATAGTTTTAAAGAGAAGAAATTAGTAAAAATATATGCTATAGTTATGTCAGATGACAAACTGAATACATTCAAAACTCTCCTTCAGCAAAAATAAATAAATAAAAAAAAACGCAGGCTACTTTGAATTCATAGTTTTGGAGGAAATAAAATGAATCATACTCTATTTATAATTTCACCACCAATCGAAGAATGCCATTTACAATGGGTATAGGTACAGGTTTAAGCAAGGCAGGCACCTATGCCTCCATCTGAGCATATTAGGCCCTTGCTAATTGCTAAGCCTCCTCCTTGGATAGAATTCCAAGGGAGAACATCAAGGCCGTGGTCTTAGGGTTTCCCAGTCTTCTTCCTTAGCCAGCGATCTGTCGAGAGGATTTTGGCTCGTCGTGAATTTTGAACGGCCCTTTACCATACAGACACTATACGCTTATAACCATCCATACTTTCCCAGGAATTCGAACCGAAACCCTTCAGTACGTCATTCATCGTCACTGCGGACCGTCTGAGGAGGCCTTATTGGGTACAACTGACAAGAGGTAAATTTTCCACAAAGATAAATATCAAGGAATGAATTCGTTTTCTGAGAATAAGTAATGCAATAAATACAATTGACACTTGTTATAATGACCCCCCTCACACTAAAGAAAACAGGAGAATGAACTTGATACCAAATGATCGCTATATAAAAGTAAAATTAGTATATGGTCATCAAATGCGGACCTTTTGTTCTGGTCGTTATGAAAGGACTGTAGCTATACTGAGCAGTCTTTATAACGACCGTCAACTCTAGTGTGACATTGTTAGGCATTTTAATAAAAAATTTATAATTCATTCAAAAGTGCGTGAAATTATTTAACTAAGATTAAATTTGAAACATTTTAGCTAAGATTAAAATAAAATCTTCTGATAACAACTGACTTGAGAAAGGAAGGGTAGTACAGTTTTGTTGAGTTTTATGTTCTATATACTCTCGTGAATGTTTACGGAAAGGAATATCATTATTTATTTTATGAAACACATTGTAATAAGAGACTGGAATTATTAAAATTTTAGATAATTTCAGTAGACAGAATGCGCAGAAATTACAACCCAGATTATTCTCTTCTACCAGTAATAGAAGCTGTTGTAGCCTGGATGTAGAGTAGAAAAGACTTGTTATAGCTATTACGAGTACTGTAACGGTTTATTTATGCTTCAAAAGGTCTCGCGTTGATTTCTTCGATGGTGCAGCAAAGGATGTACGAAGGTATGATACAGACATAGGCATTATAACCTCAGCAATGTAATTGTGGCTTGTCAAAGTACCAGATATGGGGAATGGAGGTGAACAGGATATATACTTAACAGCACCAACACAGCATAAATCCAGGTGCTAAGTCGGTATCATGAAGGAGAAGGTTATGTCTTTGTTGGCCTCAGTGCTTCCATACTCATATGTGGCCTTCATCATGCTGTAAAAATAAAGCAGCATGATGAAGTATGCTGTATTTCTTAGGGGAAAACGATGTTACGTCATCCATGCGTCCATATGTGAGTAGCTGAACCCACTATTGCAAGCATTTATTTCTGTGCTATAGCGTCAGGTGAAGTCGAAGCAAAGGTTTCCTTGCTGACAATCCTTAACGATGCAGATGTTGTCGTACTATACCAAGTAGATCCTTGATGCTGTGCAACAGTCTAGTTTTTTGACCCAGGACACGTAATGTGATTATACGATCGCTAATAGCGACGAGAGAAAGATGTCTATCATCTCGGTGCTTAATGGGGAGTGTTGATAATCCACACGTTAGTCTGTTTGGTGTTTGTTCTTTCTGAATCCTTTGATTAAAAATGATCATAACAATCAGCAGTTGCTCCGAAGGATATCCTGCAGTCTTGGTAGGCTATGATTCTACTGTAATCGAAGTTTGATCACTTCCAATACAACTGCCGACCAGGAAACGAGCTTTCTGAAAGAAAAATCAGCATTTCAGTCTGAGATTTTCCTTTGAGAACTCGTTAATTTTGCCCGTATTAAGCACACAAAGTGAAAATCTATTCATTTAAATACCTCAGAATTTTCTTTTGTTTTTGTATAAACTTTTATTGCCTGTTTCCTTCATTTTACAGCAATTTTAATGACTAGTAGCGTAGTATCTTACTCCTGAAAATTTGTAAAAACGCTATGTCATTCTTTTCCAATTTCCATTCGTTATATTTTCTGTTATATCTATATGTTGGACGTCAGTTTTAAACCTTTCATTATTAATAAATATAAATTATATCAGAAAATCAGGAAGGACTTATTATTTATTACTAAGGCTAAGACATAATTTTAGACGTATTAATATAAACAATAGTTTTAGATGTACGTATACTATAAACCTCTTGCATAGATTAATTACATGTTATGAATTATTTATTGATATGCCGTATTGATTGATTGAGTTTCTTCCAATTCAGGAGAAGCATATTCATGGACAGCCATTTTCGTTTTGCCGTTGAATTCTGCCACGAATCCATTGATTTACACCATATCTTCTCTTCATTTCCATACGCGTTTATTATCGAGGTTTGGCTTAACTTCAAAGGACGCAAAGGGCTTATACGTCAGCAGACTAACTAGTTCAAATCGAAGTAAGTACACACAGGAAATACAATTATATTATTATGCGAAAAATTATACAATAAACAAAATAAATTAACACTAAGGTAATTAAAATTTGAAGAAGGATTCCATTACTTGCTGAAAGACTAATTTGTAATTTATTTCTATGAGCTGTTCCTCATTTCTCACTGACACTGAGAACTTGTTCACCATGCCATACGTCAATCTTTAATTTTGTTTTTGTTTGCTGAATTCTCTAAACCAAGTATATGAAACTCGCTTTTAAATCATCAGTCTGCGGGTCCATTAGATATCGTTATTTATTTAAAATTTCAATTTATGTCTGCCTATTATGATTGTGTAAAAGATGTAGGTAGTGCTAAGCCTTTAGCATTTTATTTATTACCAAAGATTTAAACTTCGGAGTATAGATTCTATTTCTATTTTCTATAAAGTTTAATTTCGTTTTAAATCTTTTGAGAATTCTTACGTAAAATTCAGCTTCTCAGCCAGCACTCTTTTTAATAGGCGAAGAAATGAAAAAACTGGATGCATTTGAAATGCAAGGGCGCCTAGTGGACAAATATCTAAAGATGCGGAGCGTTGATACTTGGATCATGGATTCAGTTTTTCCTCTCCTGGACTAGCTAGGGGGACGTTTTCGCTGTTTTTCCTATACGGAATAAGCGAAACGGGCTCGTACTTGATATAACTATCACAAATTCATATCCCCTTGGCAGACAGTGCATGAGATATTCTCCACTATCAACTGGTAGTAGGTTGGTAATCTCCACTATCAATGAAACTTGCCTAGGTAACTAAAGTAGCCTGAAAGCTGCATAAAACAGTTACAATTTAGTATTCCTATTGTCCATATTCTATAAGTGGCATTCTTAAATATATGCACTAGCCACCAATAGATTAATAAAACGTTTGATGATATAGTCGATGTGTTGCTGATTGAACATGTACTTAAATTCTTGCCTAGGGACCATATAGACATGTGGAAATGTTCAAGCAAAACATTTTGAATTGATCCAAATTCTCAAATCTCTTCATTTAAGCTGTATACGCTTTAAACAGCTGCCACATTTTAGGATCTGCGTTCTGCTATTTTATTTCTTTTCGCAGTCGTCGATGTTTTAATATAAAGTAAAGTTAAATTATGCAAACAGATTACGTTAATCTAATTTGATGTATTTTAATGATATTTTGTGTTTTGGATGAAATGTTATTATTAATTGCGAATATTCAATAATAACTGTTAGTTAATATTTTAAGAAAACAAATCATGAACGTGAATTTAAAATTTCTAAAAATAAAATTTTTCTGAAACTAAGAACTGTCCGTTTATATATCAGTTTCTGTCTCCCTGTGTGCTTAAATTACAGAAATAACATTCAGTTAAAATATTAATTTCCTTACTTTTTATCTAATACTCATCCCATCTACCTTATACTATATAAAAGTATTTTCTCCCTTATTTCCACTTGCCTTCGTGATGCAACTGGAAGCACTTTCGACGCGTATTCGGGAGGTCCGGAGTTCGAGTCCCAGTGGGGAGGGGGTGTAGCAGGTTTGTTTAGTTTTCTGTCATCAAAAATGCTAAGTGTGACGCTACAGTCTGCTTCCATCTTCAAAACAAAAGTACTCACTTTATTTATAAATATAAAACTTCAATTTCATGACTTTCAGTGCGAACACACTGAAACGATGTTAGAACTCAACTAGTAAAATAACTAAAACATGTATTTTATTTTCAGAGTCAGATAAATCTGAGCGTATGATGTTAAGAGATCAACTGAACTCTCGTCCTTTCAAACCCCCTCATGGGTACATCTCTCTTCTGCAATATTTAAGAACAGTCCCGGGGCTTAGACCTCGCCACCTTTTGAAAATAGCAACAGCTATCTGTAAAATGTTGACAGAACTGCACGCAGGCAGTTATGCATTGGGAGGTATTGATGTGAACGCTGTTTTCGTAAGCGAGAGCTCGGTAAGTTTTTATTTACATTTGTCTACTTCTCAAGCTATATAGTCTTTAATATAGTTTACGCCAGAGGAAAAAATGCAATATTATTAAAAACTTTTTACAAAAAAGGTTTCAGACCTTACTAAAAAATTAATCTCCCGAAACCAAATTGGTTTTAATTTAAATAATAACATGGGCCAATTGATTACATGAAGTCTGTTAAGAAGCGAGCCACCAATAGATCAATAAAATTTTTGATGATATAGTCAATGTGTTGCTGGTTCAACATGTACTTAAATTCTTGCCTAGGAACCATATAGACATGTGGAAATGTTCAAGCAGAACATTTTTAATTGATCCAAATTCTCAAATCTCTTCATTGTAAGAGCATTAGACAACACTCATTGGATAAACAATCATATCTGATAGATTCTCCAATGTTGAAAGATTTGGGGAGATCGTACATTGTGGTGTTGAAACAATTTCGTTAACACTTTCTAAGGAATGCTTGCTAATATTAGCTATGCTTTGCCATGCTGTATTTTATTGAGAAATTGTATAAGTCCAAAATCTGTGGTAGCTTATCGGTTTACCTCCAGTGAAGCTGTCATGCATATTAGAAGATGATAATTTGATTTTAACATTTTAAATCATAATATCAACCCAAACACATTAATGAGAAGTATGTCATGTAACAGTGGTGAAAATGTCAAGTTAATTGCCGAGTCTACAGAATTTCTCCGTGTGATTATCGTTATTGAGAAAGGATCGATTTGAACACTGAAATATTTCTCTTATTCATCATCTCTAACAGCTCTACTGCGGCATCTACAAATATTCATGCGATGATCAAAACCGTGAAAAACAACCTTATATTTAGCGTAGGTATAATGAAACACTCAATCGATTTCGAGGGCAGCTAAAGGTCCCTCCTCATCAGGAGAAAGAAATACATAGAAAGAAGAAAATAGGAATCACAGAAACACGTGGTGCTTATCAGCACTGCACGTCGTTATAACTAGATTTTTAATCAGAGTTGCACTGGCCGCCTACTTTTACTGAGCCAGGCTGTCTGATCAAGCATAAAGAAATATTAGCGAAGTTAAAATAGGGAGCGAGGGGCAAATGCACATTACGCTCAAAATCTGAACTTCAAATAATGGAAATCAACCACTGAACGGATTTTTATACCCTCTGGTAGTACCAAGTGCGAGGATGGTAGGGTAACGCCATCTATCGGCAAAAATAATTGAATTAAGACAGTAGAAATTTTAAAGGCATTAGGAAGGACTGGATTGGACTTCAAATCATTAACTAAACTTTCTAAATCTTTGTGAATGTGAAAAGCCTCAAGAAAATCCAATTCGCCTATGGAAGAAGCCTTTTGGATGATTTTTGCAGACCCAAAATCAAAATTATGGTTAAAAGTCCAGCTATGATACGCTATTGAAGACTTGTTAATTTCCCCTTTTTTGACATAAGATTCATGTTCCTTGATACGAAACTTCAACGCTCTTTTTGTTTGGCCAATATATCTTAAACCACACTGACATGATATACTATAAATTCCCCAAGAATTCAAGACAGAAACGCAATCTTTTAGAATCGAAGGGTGAATTTTATTAATAGGGGAGAAAAACCGACTTGAAAATTGAATTTCTGGAGAATCCGTGCAATTTTATAGCTAACAGAAGGATAAAATGGAAGAGCACGACAAGGTCATTGATATTATTTCTAACAGTGGAATGTCTTCTTTGATGGGAATCTGAAAATTTTTGACGGCTTTATCAATAATCACGGGAGAAAATCCACGGTCAATCGCAACTGCTCTCTCTCAAATAATTAAGTTCATTGGTAAGCAAAGATTCAGAGGAACAAACTTTTAGCGCGCGGAAAACATAATAGTAAAAAAGAAGCCATTTTTTGCTTAACAGGGTGGCATGACTTGGCATGGGGTGGTAAACAAACTGCAAAGGGTTTACGGTACACAGTGGTGCTAAAATCGGTTTCATTGCGGATTATAAGAATATCGAGGAAGGGGAGGGAATTGTTGGATTCAATTTCAAGAGTGAATTGGATGGCTGGATCAATTGAATTCATAATAGATAGAATCTCGGATAAATCCTCTTTATAACCGTCAAAAAGTGCGAAAGTGTCGTCAACATACCGAATCCAAAGACGAAAAGATAATTTATCAAATAATTTCATCTCAAAATAGTGCATATAAATGTCAGCAAGTACCGGACAGAGAGGATTACCCATAGCCAATCCTTCAACTTGACGAAAATATGCATTTTGGAAAACAAAGTGGGTTTGACTTAGAGAAACTTTAGTAAGCGAAACCAACTCATTAATTTCAGTATGTGTGAAGTGAAATTCCCGAAGCCAAGCCTAGTTTCAAGACAATTTAGTGCTCCTTCGACCGGAACATTAGTAAACAATGATTTGACATCAAATGAAACCATAATGGAACGAAGTGGGGAAATATTTTTTTTTTAAGTTTATCAATGACTTCAACAGAATTTTTTTACAGTGTGAATATTGTTATCAAGTAGAGGAGAAAATCTGGAAACTAAATATTTGGCCAAAGGATATGAAGCAGTACCTATGTTGGAAACAATTGGTCGAAAAGGAATACCGGTTTTGTGGACTTTTGGAAGAGCATAAAGTCTAGCGCAATTAGTAATAGGCGGAATAAGTGATTTCTTCAACTGAGTTGGCAGAATGTGGGAAGATTTAATAGCACTTTTTACTTTCATGAGGTCCGAAGTTGAAGGATATTTAGGGATCGAGCAGTATGGGCCTTCATTTATCAATTTAGAGACTCCAGTAATATATGTGTGTTTGTCCATAACAACGATCTGTCCGCCCTTATCAGCTTTAGAGATAATGATATTAGTATCAGAACTAATTTCACGTAAGATCTCATTTTCCTTTTTGCTAAGATTAGAACCCAAAGATTTATTGTTAAAATTAACGTTATGAGTAATTAGGTGGCGGATTGTATCCTTCTGCGTTTCCGAAATTTGGAGAATTTAAAGGCTTTCTCTATAGGGGCGATGATTTGAGGAATTGAAGGTTTAGATGTCTTTGAAAAGTTGAAATTATATTTTAATACTTTTAAACTGATCCATCTGATCCTCCGAAAGATTCCTATTGGAGATATTAACGATGGAGTTAACGTTTACAGTGGGAAGATCAGCTAGATAATTGGGACTATCCGACTGGTGTGTGAGTTTTTGGAATTTAGAAATGAGCACATTTTTATGCCGTTGACAAACGGTATCGGTTTCTAGACCAGGATGTATGTTCAAATGAGGAAAAATTTTCAGTGGAATTAGCAATTTTTAAATGGAGGTAATATAATTCAAATTCAATTTTAGATAAACGTTTGCGTGTGCCCTTATAATGTGACGAAGAAGTGCCAATTTGAATTTATGCAAAATTTTTGAAACGTGAACGGAAGCTTTAAGGCTACATTTCACATGTATAAATTTGGGAATGAAATTTTGATGTTTGCATTTAAGTAGAAACTGTAGATGATTCAAGAATTTCGTACGCTTAAGGCGTAACTTACAAAATCGGTTCCTGTCAGTGGACATATTGTGAAAAGGGCACAAGCAAGAAACAAGTGAACAAAAGAAATGTCATTCCGAAAGTCCAAACAAGTAATTACTTATAAACATGAAAAAAAAAACACCAATAAATAATGAAGACAATTTTCATCAACAAATGACAAAAACATTCCAAAAGGAGAGAAACATCCAATACTGAAAAACCAATAGCCACGTGGAAAGAAGCAACGAAAGTCAAAATCGTGCACGTGGTAAACCGAAAAATATAGAATTACCTCGAAAATGCCGGTTGATAGCATAAACCAAATCCGAAAAAATGATGGCCCACGTGGAAAGAAGTAAATAAAATGGTGCACGTGGTAAAACAATAAACAGTAAAATATTCTCGAAAATGCCGGTTGATAGCACAACTAGACTAGAAGAGAAACACGCTAATGTGACAATCAAAACCGTGAAAAAACAACCTTATATTTAGCGTAGGTATAATGAAACACTCAATCGATTCGAGGGCAGCTAAAGGTCCCTCCTCATCAGGAGAAAGAAATACATAGAAAGAAGAAAATAGGAATCACAGAAACACGTGGTGCTTATCACACTGCACGTCGTTATAACTAGATTTTTTAATCAGAGTTGCGCTGGCCGCCTACTTTTACTGAGGCCAGGCTGTCTGATCAAGCATAAAGAAATATAGCGAAGTTAAATAGGGAGCGAGGGGCAAATGCACATTACGCTCAAAAATCTGAACTTCAAATAATGGAAATCAACCACTGAACGGATTTTTATACCCTCTGGTAGTACCAAGTGCGAGGAGGTAACGCCATCTATCGGCAAAAATAATTGAATTAAGACAGTAGAATTTTAAAGGCATTAGGAAGGACTGGATTGGACTTCAAATCATTAACTAAACTTTCTAAATCTTTGTGAATGTGAAAAGCCTCAAGAAAATCCAATTCGCCTATGGAAGAAGCCTTTTGGGAACATGAATCTTATGTCAAAAAAGGGGAAATTAACAAGTCTTCAATAGCGTATCATAGCTGGACTTTTAACCATAATTTTGATTTTGGGTCTGCAAAAATCATCCAAAAGGCTTCTGCCATAGGCGAATTGGATTTTCTTGAGGCTTTTCACATTCACAAAGATTTAGAAAGTTTAGTTAATGATTTGAAGTCCAATCCAGTCCTTCCTAATGCCTTTAAAATTCTACTGTCTTAATTCAATTATTTTTGCCGATAGATGGCGTTACCTCCCCTCGCACTTGGTACTACCAGAGGGTATAAAAATCCGTTCAGTGGTTGATTTCCATTATTTGAAGTTCAGATTTTTGAGCGTAATGTGCATTTGCCCCTCGCTCCCTATTTTAAACTTCGCTAATATTTCTTTATGCTTGATCAGACAGCCTGGCTCAGTAAAAGTAGGCGGCCAGTGCAACTCTGATTAAAAATCTAGTTATAACGACGTGCAGTGCTGATAAGCACCACGTGTTTTTCTGTGATTCCTATTTTCTTCTTTCTATGTATTTTTTCTTTCTCCTGATGAGGAGGGACCTTTAGCTGCCCTCGAAATCGATTGAGTGTTTCATTATACCTACGCTAAATATAAGGTTGTTTTTCACGGTTTTGATTGTCACATTAGCGTGTTTCTCTTCTAGTCTATTCATGCGATGGTTTAGTGTTAACAGCAGCCCTTAGCAAAATATGGCTTGGCCGCAAAATTGCCTCAGTATCGACACCGGTATTCTAAAATCTCTCAGCATACTAAAATTATTTACAGCTGTAGATCCTGATACTGCATAACAAATGTGTCGATCTGTGCATTTTTACTTGGTCTCATGATTTCAGAAGACAAGCTAGTTATTCATAGACTGGGACTAAAGCATTAGGAAACTCAATTCATTTACTGACCTATAAAGCAGCCAAAAAAATATTTCCATATCCTTAACAAATTATTCAAAATTTAATTTCTTTACCGCTTAGAACATACATTCGGAAAAAGGCATTGAAAAAAAGCTTTAAAATTGACATTATTTGCTTAATATACTGAAAATTTCATGGTGCTGCGACAAAAGTTTCGTGGTGTTAGGGTTTCTTTCTAAAGTGGTACAACATAGATATACAATGAAAGAAATAATAAAATTAAAAACGTTAACGATATATGTTAGCTATATATGAATTTAGTCATGTCTGAGAAAAGTGCAGCTTTAAGAAAAAATAATTCTAAAAATTTTCATCATTATTTTATATTTTTATTAATTATTAGTAATGTCAATGTAAATAAATTATTAAAGCTTCAGATCAGTACGATTATATTTATGGGTAAAATCAGTATTTTTCGAAGCCATAACCATCGAAATAAGAGGTTCTATACATTGTGGTGTTGAAACAAAAAGGCTTTGGATATATTTCAGTGGTATTACCTGTTAAGTTCCTTCGATCTTAATCCGCAATTATTTAATGCTGTCTGTTTGGAAAAAATGAGTGCGTTAAACAACAGTATCCCTTACAGGTTCAATCGATACTCTGCTCGGAATAGATCAAAAAATAGGTATCTGTTGCGCTGTGAAAAAAACTTGAATATTCCAAACAAAAAGCGGTGGGGTGCCTATTTATTAAAATACATCGCTAGGAGTTCGCTAAAGGAAGTATATGACGTCAGATTTTACAACTTTCGTAATAAAGTAGTCGCTGTTGAGAATATCTGCAGTTCAATGGATCCGGAATTGCTTAAAATAACGAAAAGTAGCCTGCAAAATCACATCTATCGTTCATCCAATATTAACACTCTAAAATGCATGCTGGAAGATGGCGCGCATCGTATTACTGTCTAATGTGTATGCGGTGGTAAGTGTAGTCCACGTTAGAGCGTAATTCTTTAGATAATACGACGTTTGTTGTCTTCACGCCATTCAACGAGCCCATACGCCCACAGTAGCCTGAGACGGTGATTGTGTTGTTAGTCAAGAAAATCCTCTGCAAAGATACACTAGCAAGCAGACCTCTGCGCAACAAGCATCAGATGCCGCTAAAATGGGGGATGCCGCGGAGCGGACACCATCATATTGAATAGTGTCTGATCTAAGACACACTAGCAAGCAGACCTCTGTGCAACAAGCATCAGATGCCGCTAAAATGGGGAAAGCCGCGGAGCGGACACCATCATATTGAATAGTGTCTGATCTAAGACACACTAGCAAGCAGACCTCTGTGCAACAAGCATCAGATGCCGCTAAAATGGGGAAAGCCGCGGAGCGGACACCATCATATTGAATAGTGTCTGATCTAAGACACACTAGCAAGCAGACCTCTGTGCAACAAGCATCAGATGCCGCTAAAATGGGGAAAGCCGCGGAGCGGACACCATCATATTGAATAGTGTCTGATCTGCTATTGCCATGCTTACAGTAGAGGAAGCTGTACTGTTCGTCATTGCAATCTGTTCGTCATTGAGATATCTATCACTCCGCGGAGTTATCCCATTTCGAAGTCCACTACCGAAATTTTGATTTTCCTCTTTCGTTTGAGTTTCTTTATTCCAAACTCGTATCACTATTATGGCGTCACGTCCCCTGCGATTAGCAAGTGCCACGGGGCTAAATTCATCCATCATGTAAGCCGGTATTTCATCGTCCTGAAACATTCAGATTCCCTTTGCCATCACTGAGCTATAATGATTACACATAGACCTTTAAAGACCCTTTAAAATGCATTACTGCGCTTTTTAAGTTTTAAGCCTTCAAATTAATTTCAAGTTAAAGAAGACGCAGAGAACATTTCGTAAAGCAACAAGTTTAACAAATTTCAGTATCAGATTCAGTTTCAGATTTCAGTAACATTGTTAAAAGTTTTACAATTTCCGATGTCATTACTCTCGGTTTCATAGAGATTATTCCACTGCCTTCGTAACGAAAAAGGGCTTTGAATCACATATGTATTTGCGAGCATTAATACACTTCGAACGAAACCGCTCATTTCAAAATATTTTCCTCTTAGCGCTTGTTTTTATAAATTAATGTCCATCTTTTCTCTTGAGATACTACATTTCAGAATACACAGTGTCCTGACCGTTGTCAGGAAACAATATATGAAAATATGCACAGACCAAAATAATTAATAAATTCTGCTAAGTCGCCACGAATTCCATTTATCCCCCTTTGATGTAGATAACTAATGGAGAGAGCAGTACAACTGAAATAAATTTTTGCTACTTAATTTCCATGATGATTCTAACTGATACTGTAAGAGGTTTCTCATATGAGATTCTAAATTGGCAAAATGTCATTCACCTCTAAACCGGTATAATCCCAACATTTTCTGCGTATCATCTAAAAGGAACAAATTTCTCTCTGCGTCAATATCAGTCATAATAAACAATAATTATGAAATTATTATGAAAAGGTAATGTTACAGAAATTATTTTACTCCATAATTCATTTTCATTTTAATGTATTTCCATACTGTACAGAAATAATACTCCACACTTTCATAAAAGTTTATAAATATTATAGTAATATATCCATCAGAGCAAAATATCTAGTATCATAAAAAATTAATAATTATTTGTTTTGACGGACAAATCTACAATTATCTTACTAAATTAATTTTTTTAATATTGCTTTTAGGACGGGGATGAAATTCATGTTTATGTGCCAGACTTCAATGCTTATAAAATAGTATCAACACCTATAAGTGGTATGCCAGATGATACAGCAGTGGATATGGAAGAATTTGGACTTTTGGTAAAGAAAATGCTCAGAGTTTACCATGTGATATCAAGGTCGAATGACCCCATGCAAGGCACTGCTTGTTAATGATGTAAGAAGTATCCATCTCTTCAGGGAAGAAAGCCAACAAGATAAGCTGTCGAATTCCGTTGATGACATACTTGTGACTCTTGTTTTATCTGTAGAAATATTGTCTTCTCTGTGTATATAAGAAAACTCTGTGCAAATGTTGTGAAAGAATGTGGTTTTATAAGAAAGAAGAATCTTTCACTTTTTTATTTTATAAAAGTAAAAGAAGAACATAATTAATTGGTATTAAATAGTGTATTCACTTACACTGCCTATCAAAATGCTTTCAATACACTGGAGATTGGCTACGTTTAGTCTCTCAATTCACAGCGTAAGTCTGTGATGTCAATATTTGTTAATTATCGCATTGTATAAATGGGAACATCTTACAGCTTGGATGTTGTTGAGAACCTAAAATACTTTTATAAAGAATAAGCAACAGTGTGAGTCCTGATTGCGAGGAAACGCTTTTGATTTTGAGTTTTCAGAATTTCCAGACTGTAATTTATAACTTACAGCTAATTCATTTTTAACCTTTTGAAGACGGGATGGCTATTATAGTGGCCTTTGAAAAGACGGTGTTGTCCACTTTAGTGGACTTTTGTCTTTTTCCCCCATTTTCCAGGCTGAAAAGTGGGGTGAAATGTCAAATTTGACGTCCCTGGGGTTTTAACCACTTATCTCTTTCAAAGGTCTTCCTTTTGCGACATAGATGCACCCCTCTGAGAATCCATTAAACTACACACAAGAATCTTTGTTGCAAATAGGAGGGGATTTCTTAAAGGGGGAAAGCATTCGGTTCAAGATTCCCCGTCCTTTGGTAGCTTTTACAGCTAACAAAGCCTCGGCCTCAAAAGGTTAATATTAGAACTAGAAACTGAAAGCATTTTAGTAAAATGATAAGGTACACGCTGAATGATATTCCTTAAAGTTTCAGCAATTAAAACTTAATTGAAAAGGATTAGACAAATGTTGCCATTATTTTTATTTTCGATATACATTTTGATTAATGGTTTTGATTATAAATGAATAAAGTTGAAATCATTCCTTTTCACCCTTAATCACGTGTTACAAAATGCCATATGTTATGCCAAATGCTCTGTGCCGTAAGCCATGTGGCGTTTATTATGAACGCTAATAGTTTTTATTCCTTGCAGATGAGTAGCCAAAGTGTTGTGATTTAACCACAATATTACCTAAAAGTATTAATATTATTCTAATGTGTAAAAGTAAGTAAATTTCCGATTAATAACTAATACAATTACGTAAAAATAAAGATATTTTCTCATGATAGAATGTAAGAAAAAGTAAACATATATACATCATGTATGCCAACAACTCGCATTACTAACATGCCATTTCTAGCAAGCAAAAATAGTATATGCGCCCAGCATTAACACACTGTATTAGATATACCTTTAACTCTTGTCCGGCAAGACCGTATGTATACGGGCTATAATATTTTTGTGATGTCTGTAAGAATGTATATATACGGCCTAGAATGTTTTTTTGATGTCTGCAAGAACATAGTATGTATACGTGTATCTTGAAATATGTTCAAGAAAATAATGCAATATGTGAAAATACATAAGTTAAGCTATAAAATACAAGGGGCATTATGGCATTAAAATCAAGAACATATCTCTTACTTATGGTAGTTTTCGGAAATATGGGTTTCGTGAAACCCCATGCAGGTCAGAGGGTTTTAATTACTTATGTAAATGGATTGAATTTTCTACTGATTTACTTATTAGATCAAAGGGGCAATTTGCCCAGAAGGACTATTAATATCCTTTTGGCATTTTGCGTTAATTCACTATAAGCGTTGTTTCACTTTTCAAATTGTTGCTACCAAATATTATCGCCCTATATTATATTTAAAGAAATTAAATAATGAAGAATCTGCATAAATGTATGCATGTTTCTCGCATTGTAATAAAACAAACGGTACCTAGAGCCATCAAATTTTGAATAACGTAATCCTTCTGAAAATATGGGAATCTGAAAGCCCATATTTGAAATTTGGAGTTTGTTTTATTATCGATTTCATATTCTGTAAAACTTTAATGAATTTTTGATTAACAAACGCAAAGATTTCAAAGCGAGCAATGGCAACGTTGTACAGAAAAAACATTTTTATCTCCAGTGCGAAGAACATGATATTTAATAAATAAAGGTAACACACAAAAATGTTAAAGAAACGCCCCTTTGGACGTAATTTAAGATCTGAAACCTTTCAGATATTTTTTTTCAGTTTGTAATCATAAGAAGAATAGTAAATGTAAAAATGTCATGTATATAAAATGTAAATACTCTTTTTTAAATATTTTCATTGCTATTCTTTTTATTACTCGAAAATATGTGTGCCTGCAAATATTCCAAACCTAGAATTTTATAAGGAGAGTTTCATAATATTTGTTTTTCATTTCAGCTACAAATCAGCTGCATCTTTCAAGAGAATTATTCTCTTAGGTTTGGTAATGTTGCCTGTAAACGAAATAAACAAGATTTTACACATTGCTTGCTGATGACATGTGGCTGAGTAAAATGCCGTATCTTTCCCAAAAACTCAATATGTAACGTAATATGTTGCTTGCATATATATGTGATGTATCCGCTTTAGTCGTAGCTTAAATAATCAGACGATAAGTTTAAAAAACAGGATCCATTTATTATTATTTAGGAGAAATAGCAGTTACAAAAATCAGATATCCGGAGTAAATAAAAAGAATTACTAATAACTTTTTGTATGAAGTTTACTGCATCGTTACATTTAAGAAAAAGCCCCGATATTCCTTTTGCGAGTCTTTTTATAGCCTCTGGAAAGGCGGAGCTTCCAAGAAATGACGTCAGCCTCGTCAGCCAATCCAATTCGCTTTAAATACCTCCAGAACATTCTAAAATTGTACTTGTACAAAAGGCGGGAAAAACAACTTGACTACGGGGCTGTGAATTTAATTCCACGAACTTTCAAATAAGAGGACGTCGCCATTAAAAATGAAAAGAACATACAGTTAGAATTTTAAGTGTATTCTCGACTATGGAATTTTATTATTACAAATATATATTTATAATATATATTATGTAACTCCTGAGATTAGAAATAATATGTAACTCAATGTATTTTCCAAAAATTCAAATGTGTGTTGTAATATGCAGAATCTTATTCTGAAATGCTATTCTAAATTTCATTTATTTTATTATAAATATTATTTCACTTACATGTCTTTTCTTATGTTCTAACACTGTATATATAAGTGTATATATGTGTGTGTATATACTAACACTTGTCTGAAATCAGAGTTTACTCAGAATTTTACAATAGTTCATGATAAATGTTCTGTATATATTCTTTCTGTCGGCAGGAAATATCTAAATAATGCACAAAAAATGGCGGAAGATTCCTCTGCGTACATAAATGCTGACATACATATTCAAACATCAAATGCTAAATAACTGTAAAACGTGTTTTGAAATATAAAAATACAATTGTATTTGACTACTTAAAAAAAGCGCTATCATGCGGTTTAAAAGTATTCAATGTTCAAGTCCTGCCCAATGTTGACCGAAAGTTCACTTTTGGCTGTCAAATCTTCATGTTTAACCATTTTTCTGAATTACTTACAGGAACTAAATTTCTAATTTTACTTTAATTTAGTAATTAATAATAATCTAATTTTCTAATTTTAACTAATATTATTGCTCTATAAAGCACGAAATGAGCTTATTTTACTTTTCCTAAAACACTTTTAAACTAAGGCTTGGTTAACTAAAGCCCTTTTTATATAATCCTGAATCTTTTTTAACTTTCAAAAATATATAAAATATTTTTCTTCTCTTTTCTTTGAAACTTAAAGGAAAGAAGAGTTTTAAATAGTTTTGATAGATGTTCTCAAAGCCCCTGAAAAATCTCTCTTTTTTTTTCTCTGGGTCATGCGTATCACAGTTTAAGAGCTTCCGCTTTGTGAAATATTGACCAAGAAATATATCCTTGATATCATAAGTTCCGATTTAATTGATGTATCCTACGTGGCGATCATTGTCCTCCGTATAGTCTGAATTCATTGTTTTACAAAAGAGGGAACGTGATATGACTACCTGTTATAATGGTCAATGTCAGGAACATTGCGTAGATTGTAACATATACCCTACCAGGTCAACTGATTACCACCATACACGTTAGTTGATGTTCAAGTTCATTGTTAACAATAAGCCATTGTTTGAGAACATTCGTTTCAATCTTTCTGGTAGTCTTATAAGGTATTTTCTCCCTACTTCCAGCATGCCTTCGTGGTGCAACGGTAACACACTCGGCGCGTATTCGAGACGTCCAGGTTCGAGTCCTGGGGAAGGCATTGCTCATTTTTCATGTCTCCTGCTTCAAATTAACGTAATGACTCTACAGTGGTGGCCGAACTAAAAGGTGGTGGACATTAATTAGTCACCACCAGGATTTGGCGACTGGGTCCCCTAATCAGTCGCCCTTTAAAAAGGGGAGTATGCAAAGTATTTTCTGTCTCCTTCCAGCATGCCTTTGTGGTGTAACGGTATCACACTCGCCGAGTATTCAACAGGTCCAGGTCCGAGTCCCTGTCCAGGGCGAAGGCGTTGTTCATTTTTCTTGTCTCTTGCTTCAAAATAACCTAATGACCCTACAGTCTTTGTTATTATGCTGACGATATACAGCAGTCTGGCTTGGTATAGCAAAGTGAGAATTCAGTGCACACTACAGGTTCCTGTGCTCAAAGAAACTTATATCACAATAAAATCACAGTTTCTCATGAATATTAGAATTTCATTTTTACTTAAATATCAGATCTTTTTACATTATATTACATTACATCAATTGCATGATTATAATTATACAGATGTAGGAAACAAAAGGAAGTGAATCCTTTGCTTGTTAATAATATATTAAATGCAGGAGTGAAAAGTGGATTCATTATATAAAAATGCTAAACTGTTTATTGTGTCAAATTAAATATCCCTGTAGTCAGAGTTTAATTTATATTGTGCACACAGATTTGAAAAATAACGTTTTTTATACTGTTCTAGAAAAATAAGTCTGTAACTTTTCTCTCTGTTAGGGTTACTATTTTATCTTGAAATTACAATTCAAGGCAATTTTTGTAGAAGTAAAAGCTTTTTCTCCTTACTAATGTTATTAAACTGTTCATATCAATATCATTTTTACGGAATTACGAATTCAGAGCAGCCACGCTCTACCTGAATTTCGCATCAACTTTATTTGTGGCTTTGTTTCCAGTTTCCTTTTCCGGCATTTCCGAATCGTCAAGACCGACCATTCGATTATTAGCACAGCAGTTTCTATCACATCACAGATGGCAACTAATGAAATTCCTAACCAAAGACCCAGGTATCCTCCAACATACGAAAATAACGAAACACTCTAAAAAAAGAGAAAGAAATCTAAATAAGCACAACCGAATACAATATAATGAATAGATATTTTATATGAATAAAGCTTTGAAGCATTTAATACATTTTCTTAGCAGTTCTTTAATTATTGATGGTAATAAAATCAAGTACAAAACTGTATCTAATCATAGTATTAAAAAAGCTGTTGTGTACACCACACGACTTCCTTGTGCGGAATATTAAATTATACGTTTTTTCCTGCATTTAATTTTAACTTATTTCCTAATTTCATTAGAGATATATTTCACATTCAATTAATTCAGTTCTCAATTGGCAGTGAGGCAAAAATACACAAAACCTCAAAATATTTTCAATAAAAATTGAAAGATATAGAAAAACGTAAAACACCAAATGCAATTAAAACAATTAAAAACAATTTTTATAATTAAAATTACAGTTTCTACGCAAAAACAAGAAATTCGGCCAACGGGATGAAGGCAAATTTTTCGGTGCACAAAATTAAAAGTTTTCTTTTGGTCCCACTCGGCAGAAAGAGACGAACGAGCAGAAGGAATTAATTCCGCATTCTGTTAAGTTTCAAATATGACAGCTACGGTAAAATAGTTAGGCTTAGCCGAACTTAAGCAACTTTTAAATTGTTGATAATTCTACAAATATTGCATGCAGATTGCCTAAAGTCATAAAAACCTTAACCGGAAGATAAGAATAACATAATTTAATCATTTTTAAAGCAAAAAATGCACAATTTACCAACACATAAGAATAAAAAACTGAGCTCACGGAGCCGAGTAACAGAGTAGATATGTATATATATATACTTTTAGTGCTGCCGATTGCAACCAAAATTCGAGGTGCACAACTACATGTTATAGCAGTCCTATATACAAAATTTCAAAGTTTTGAGGCTACTCATTCTCGAGTTTTTGAGATACATGCATACATACGTACGTACGTACAGACGTCACGAAACAATTTCGGTAAAAGTATAGTTTAGGGTACCACTTGGTGAAACTTGGCGATTTTTGGCGGTACGTAGATACCGATTTTGTGCACTTCTTTGACTCGTTATTTTGGCTTGCGAAGCGGCGAATCCCCGAATTGCACAAAAATGGCATTGCGCACTCTTAACTTTAGCCATGGTCGACCTATTCTCATTTAAAAAAATCCCAGAATTGCATAAACTTGCATTGCGCACTCCCTTTACTTTGTCCATGTACACATTGATATATTTTACTTAAAAAGTCAAAGGAGCACCAAATTCTGCAATATAGGCAAACAAAAAATACATAATCTCAATAAAATACATTTGAAACCAAACAATAAAATAACATAAACAAAGAAAAACATGTTATACATTTAAGCACTACCAAAAGCAAATATTCACTTACCATGATTTTCGAGTTCGCTTCGTACACCCAGAGCCACGTAAAAATCAAAATATCAATCATACTCAAATGACTTTTTTCAAACCAGGTACTCTTTCTGATCGAACGCTTCACATAGTGACCATCTGAAACTTTTCTTCCTACAAACCCATTCAAATCCATCTAAACGGTTTTTACGTTCGACTAGACACATATCCTTCCAACATACAGGACACTTATAATGGCTACTAAGTAAACCTTCATTTACACACCAGTCAATTAAAGCTCTTTTCCCCTTTCGCTCCAAATCGTACAGAAACTTCAAATTAATCTTACTACATTCGGCCATTCTACCGCTTAAAGAATCAAACCAACACACACCACAAAAACGCTTACAAAACATCCCATGATTCAAAATTTCCCAGAATCATGCACCCGATTATGTCACAATAGGGTTTCGATAACATTCAACTGCTCAGGCTACCATAAATGAAACAACAACTTGGCTATAAATCAAACAACAACTTGGCGATAAATTAAACAACAACTTCGCCATAATACAAGGGGTACCTTAAAGTCTACTCTACCCAAAATCGCTTCTGAATCCATTTTAAATCAGTTTTATAATTCGTTTTTGGGAAAAGAGTCCTTTATTCTGTCCTTACGTACAGATTTCACGCAAAAATATCGTTAAATTGCATTCGATAGTGCTCAAAATGGATATTTTCGTTGAAATATGGTACTCGGAATTTTTCGTGATAACGATACTTCCCTTACTTTATACAAGTAAGTAAAAAGGAAAGCTGTAGAAAGATAGATGAAATATTGATGCAGAAAGGGAAACAAGAAAATAGGATGTTTTTTTTTTTTTTTCAAATACTGCTATAGGTTATCAATTCTCATTATTTCATAATTGACAAATACTAAGAGAAAATATTAATGTTAAAATACTAGATTTGCAATATTCTAAGTCTTTTTAATTTCGTTATACAGGGATGTTTAAAATTCCTGAGCTTCAAAGTTCACATTACTTTTTGATTTCGCCTTTCAGAATGTTCCGTATGTTTTCAAGGCCTACTCACGGCGAATATGTCCGCCGAGCGCTGATAATTCGTTTTATGGTAAAATTTAAGGAAAGAGGTTGGCTTTCGTGGTGTCCCCGTCTTTAAAGTAAAGAACAAGTTTCTCTCCTTTAAAAACTCCTCCAAGGTGTCTATCTCCTTTGCACTCTTCAATACTTTGTCATTTGCAAATTGGTGCCTTTCCACTTCCTTGTACGAAGTATTGTAATTGTGTAAAATTTCTGTTATCATATTTTAATGGAAATATCCATTTCAACCGTTGCCGATCCATTTGGACGATTATTTTTCGAGAGGGGGAGGGGATCTTGAAGTTTATATATACGGACAAAATAAATTACTCTTTTTTCCAAAATGCATTGGAAAATGGGTTCAAAAGCTATTTTTTTCGTAAAGTCTGTACTTACGTATATATGTATCTTGTATAACACAAAAGAGTTAGCCGCAGTATGTTGAAATTTTGTACATGGCACTGCTATAACATCTAGTTGTGCACCTCCCTTTTTTTGTTATAATCGGCAGTATGAAACGTATATATATATATACTCAACCCCTTCTACGGTTTTAAAGTCCTTGTCGTTTCCCAGCCTTTATTTTCGCAATCGTTGGTCGTAATCATATATTTGTAGTTACAAAATTGTTTTAATTGATGAAAATATTCATGTTTTGGCAACGTCAAATTTAAAAAATCAATTTGCTGCAAATAACGAAATCTAGCTTTTGATGCGATCTTCCGCTTCCTCTATTTATATTCGGGAAATTTTTATATTCGTTATAAAAATTTGACCCCCCAGTACGACAAACACTGAGTGGAATATTTAATTTAAAAATTTGCAGATTTTGATGTCATTTTCAGTTTGTCTTGAGGGAACGATTAATCAAGTTAGAATAATTCGTGGATATAAAGGGAAATGGAAATGCAGAAAAAAAAATGTATGTAATTTTATAGTATTTAAAAGGAAATAATGTGGTGTCCACATCAGATTTTTGTTTAACGGATGGCCGTTATAATATTCCGTTTGTGTTTTTTATTTTTAAAGTTTCCCAATAGCTCCTGTAGAATTGCGTTTCTTTTTCATATTTCTATAAAAAGAGGGAAAATAAATCGACAAATAATATCAAAACTCTGTTTGGTAAAAGATAACATATTCAAAACCACTCTCCCCGTTTCTGTTTCGTTAACCCAACACAGATTTTTAAATCAGACAAACATTTCCATACGAAGGGAGTATTTAAGAAACCATGATTTAACGCGCTTCAAAACTCACTGTATGTAGTTGAATATTAGAAGCCCTAATCATTCGATTGCTAAGTGAATTTATTCAAAATTGCACACTAAAAATAAAATTACGAAATTTTAATTTACCTCATATTTCGGTGAGTAGCTGTACTTTATTACTTCCATTTTATTGAAAGAAATAGTAATCACCGAGAAGCATCTGAAAAATAAGATTTAAAGGTAAGTAACTGCTGTGTTATTTATGTGTACTTTTATTAACTGAAGGTTTTTCTTAATGATTGTATATACAATTCGGTCTTCCATCATTTCAGAACGCAATGCACAGTCCTCGTTTTAGAGGAAAGTTCTATCGAAAAACCTCTTACTGAAGAACTCTTAAGTAAAATTAGCATTTGAAAATTACTTTATTCTGAAGTCTTAAAAAGGAAACAAGCCATGCTTTTAAAAATGATCACATGAGTTACTAGCATAATGTTAAAGTTATTTATATGTCTACTAATGCGTAAAGTTAGCAAATTTAAATAAAACATTGTATGGCAGATGAAATAGATGTGCCAGGAAACCCTCACTGCTACTTAAATTTCTTGTTGTTTTACTTCAACTGAACCAGTTAATTTCAATATTTAAGAAGGAGTACTAAAATCACAAATAGTTCTGACAAAAATTCAGTTTAAAGTAAATATAAAGTTATAAAAAATATACCAAAAATAATATAAATATATATAAGGTAACTTTCACAGGAAAAAAGTATAAAATTTGGATTATACTAAACTTCAGAGGTGGCCCACCAGTGACGAGTTTTAGAATTTCTGAGCACTGATAGTTCCACCCAAGCTCAAATCCTTGTGAACAGACTAGCTGCATACCCATAGGAAGGTAGCCTTCATGTGCTTTGTCTTAATCCAAATATCATACATTAAAATGACGCGACGCTCACAAATCCCAGAGAAAAAGTTTGCCACAGGTGATCAAAAGCTCTCTTTTATCAGCCCAAAAGGAAATCTTAGCCTCGAAATGAGATTTTGCGTTGTTTCACTATTACCACTCTTCAAATTATTGCTACCAAATATTATTTCCTTGTATTATTTTTAAGGAAATGAAATAATGACGAATCTGCATATATGCATGCATGATCTCGCACTGTGAAAAAATGACGCGACCTAGAGCCATCAAATATGAATAACGTAGTCCTCCACCCGAACGTGTGTACCTGAAAGCCCAAATTTTGAGTTTCGAATTTTTTCTTTCATATTTTGTAATTATCAATAGAGATGGCCCAGGTGAAATAACAAAATATTTTATAGATACTAGATGAATATACATTTAAACTAACATGGGTACATTATACACCTTCTGTATATATGAAAAGGGAAAAAACTTATAACGTAATTCTGTAAAAATATTTAATGTTTTGGAGCTACTCTTATATGCACCCTCAGGTCGCCAAATTTCTCGCGAAACATTTTTGGCGAGAAACTCCACGGTGCCATATCACTATCTAAATTTTTTGTCTACATTTCAAACTTTAAGCCTAAAATGTCTCCAAACACGCGGTTTTCGCACATGCAAAAAATGTTTCTAACCAAAAATATTTGACAAGAATCCATGTACACAGCGATGTGTTTTAACTTAAAAAAACATCTACGAATTGCACATTCATTCTAGGCAGCGAAGGAATCTACGAACTACGCACATCTCTCTTCAATAAATGAACATAACAACAATAAATTTCAAAGAATACCATATACACAGCATTCTGTTTAAACTTTAAAAAAAAATATCTACGAATTGCACAATCTAGGCATAGCGCACAAATCAACCAAATAAACTAAACTAAATTACAAACAATTCAAAAAACAACAATAACGACAGAAATGCATAGTAAAAAAACAATGAACATAACATTGTACAAAATAAAAACGGTAAAATAAAATGCACTTAACATAATACATTCCTGAATAAAATTTCGCCAGTCACACAACGTCTCTGAACAAAAGTGCCACGATTTTGCTGTATTACATGTCTTTCTGAGATTCAAAATTTCGAAAGTAACGATGAAAACTTCCTCGAAAGTTAACTTACTACACCAAAACCACAATCCAAATCTTAAAACTCCGCTGACAGCCACATATTTTACCAGCAACATTTGACTGCAAATCTACACAAGAACTATCAGAAACGCCTTTCTTCGTCCAAGTTCTCATAGCAGCACCGCATTTTGGACTCCGTTCTGTTTTAAATGTCCCACAGAAACTCCAAAAATACACTTCGATCCTCATAAACACAACCACGTCTATCATTGCAACATAGGCCATTTCGAAACACGTACGACACGAACCAACGAGCAATTAAACCACTCCAGCAAAAGATTTTTCCGTCAACAGGGTTGCCATACAACACGCAACCGCGCCAAAAACCAGCGCAGATCGCCACATCTGGTGATATTAGGGCGCATATAAGAGTAGAGCCGGGCTTTCTGCCTAGGGGGAGGGATGCCTTCATGAAGGACTTTCTAAGGGAAACTGGTTCGTATACATGTTATACATGGAGAAAACCACGAAAACAACCATGAAGCCAGCCCGTTCGAGGGACTGAAACCTCGGACCGAACTACCAGGGTCAGCAACTTTATCGCTCGGCCGCTGAGCGATAAAAAAAAGGTGGCTTGTAGAGAATCAGTCGACATTACATCAAACGAAATTGCAGATGCTAGTCAAGCCAGGCTTACCCATAACTGCCGCTAAATAACCAGCCAGGCTTACCCATAACTGTTTTGGTCAGAGAATTGCTTGCAAAATATTTAAGAGACCTTATACACGAAACTGTTGAACAATCTGGTTACAACATAATGTCTTTTACCGAATTATATGATTTACTTAGTACTAATAGTTAACAAAATCATATCTCAAAATATGCAAAAACAAAAGCGTTTCGTCGACTTTTTTATTAAGCCCTCCGATTTTACCGGAAGCTGTGATAAGAATGCTATGACAGCAAACTTTTTGCAGGTGATTGCTTCAGTCTGTTACTGTTTTATAGGCCAAATCCAGCTGTTCTTTTCCCCGTTCAACAAATACTAATTCTCACAAAGTTGTAAATTAACCTGATTACAGTCAAAATATGAGGCTACAGCCCTCAAACTGCCTTTTTTTCAATATCAATAATAATAAATCAAACCAAATAAAATAAGACATAAAATATAACAACAGTTGTTTTATATCGTTTTCATAAAAAAAAAGGTGGCTTATAAAGAATCAGTTGGCATTACATCAAACGAAATTGCAGATGCTAGTCAAGCCAGGCTTACCTGGCTTGATTAACTGCCGCTAAATCCCGCTGCTTGGCGACAGTTTTACGGTCTACAGGAAAATACGTAAGTACTACAAGATCTCATGTTTTAAACAACTAACAAGTTATTACATTTTTAAGGATTACTGTTACTTAGAAATTAAATAAAGCTAGAATTCTTCTAGCTATTCATCTAGAATGTTTAAAATCTACTTACTCATTTGATTTAGCTTTTCCATACTGAAAGACAAAAATCGAAAGCATTATATTATATTTCATTTGACGTTTCAAAATTTAATTGTAAAAAAAGTAAACATGAACATTTTTTAACTTTACCTTTAACGCCATATGAGCATGCTCTTGAATGTCAACATTAATATCTTCCCGACTATAATAAAGGTATATATTTATATGATATATTAAAGGTATATATTCACATAATAAGACACTCATTTTAATTTTTAAGCGAATACTTCAAAAACTATTTTCTGTTTGTTATGAAACTCTTATTCATGTGAGCTTAGTAATATTAAAATGTATAAAATTAATGCTAAAGATCTTTAACAAAATTTTTAGCACCATTTCCGATTCTCATAAGGATATAAATTAAAATAATAAGGTCTAAAAGTCATTATTGTTTGTTAACTTTGAATAAAAAGTCACAACTAATTAAATCAGAATCCATACAGAAAATCTGAATTCTGAGAAGTAAAAACAAAAGACTTAAGAGAAGAAAAAAAACCTGAGAATAAAAAAAAAAAAAAAAAAAAAAAAAGGAATCTAAATAGCCAATAATTCTTAAACAAAAAATCTGATGTGTACACCACATGACTTTCTTGTACAGAATATTAAATTATACGCATTTTTTCTCGCATTTTTTTTAAACTTATTAGATTTAATTAAGCCTACTTCGCCGACAGCGCATAAACCACAATAGAATAAATGTATTCTTTAAAATTCACTTTGTTTACCCTAGCGACACTCTGGCGCTAGGTTTACTTAACAGTATTATATTTCGTTCATATTATAACTGAGAATGCACAAAATTTATATCATTTAAAGAATTATCTATGTTCTATTCAAATACTATAATAAAGCTAGAACTATGCATAAAAGAAATTAAGCAAACAAAACAAAAAAGAACAGTCTTCCACAGACGATTGAGTATTTCTCATTCAATTAATTCAGTTTTTCACTTCGCGAGAAGGCAAAAATACATAAAAGCTCAAAATATCTGTATTAAAAATTACGAAGTAAATCTCAAACGCTTATTTCCTCGAAAAAATTCCAGAAAGAATTAAGCATGATTTAATTGGCAATAATAAATGAATGCGTTATCTTCGTTGTTGCGAAGCTAAGTTTCTCTAGATTGGCAACAAATCCACTAGTCTCCTGTTTCAAATGTAAACATCAATGGCCGCCATTAAATACAGGCTTAGCGGCACTTAAACAACTTTAAAATTGCTGATAATTCTAAAAATATTGCACACAGATTTACTAAAGGCATAAAATCATTAACCGGAAGATAAAAACAATATAATTCAATCATTTTTAAAGAAAAAAAAATGTACAATTTACAAATATATAAGAATAAAGAAACTGAGATCACTGAGCCGGGTAATAGAGTGGATATATATATAAATATATTTAAATACGTTTGGTGCGGCCGACTGCAACCAAAATGCGAGGTGCACATCTACATGTTACAGCAATCCTATATACAAAATTTCAACGTTCTGAGGCTACTCGTTTTTGAGTTATGCGAGATACGTACGTACGCACGAACGTACGTACATACGTTCGTACAGACGCCACGAAAAATTCTCTTCAGAATTAATTTTAAAGCAGTTTTATAATTTTTTTGGAGGAAAAGAGTATTTTATTCGGTCGTTACGTACAGATATCGCTCAAAAACATCGTTAAATTGCATTCGATAGCGGTCAAAATGGATATTTTCGTTGAAATATGCTGCCTGAAACTTTTCGCGATTACAATACTTCCTTTTTACTTCGTACAAGGAAGTAAAAAGGGGGGTTCTCTTAACGTACACTTTTTTACTTCGTTGTACGAAGTAAAGGAAGTATTGTAAGAAAACCCCCTAAAAAAAAAATCTCAGAAGATGACTGCATTATGTTATTTCAATGAAAATATCCGTTTTATTGCTCTCGAATCCATTTGAACGACGTTTTTGCGTAACATCTGTATGTACGGACAGAATAAAGGTCTCTTTTCCTAAAAACGGATTAAAAAATGGATTTTAAATGGATTCAGAAGAGACTTTTTTTCGCGTCGTCTGTACGTACGTACGTAACTAAAAACGCGTAGTCTCAGAACATTGAAATTTTTCATATTGAACTACTATAACATGTAGCATGTATATATATATATATATATATATATATATATATAATTAAAAAACAATTTATTTTAAAAAACAAAATACAAACATGCCTAGTATTTTCTCGTATTAAGCTGCTGAAAAGTAATCATTAAAGACATAAAGTAAGAAATTTAATACTAATATTTTACAAAGACCAAAAATTAGAATTCATAATAATCCAATAAATGCGACAAAGTATTTTAAAAGCGTTGAAACCAAAACTTTCCAAACAAGCAAAACCCCATTTAAAAAAATTAATGAAACTTAAAAGAAAAATTAACACAACAGAAGAGGAATTCAATCAATTTCAATGCCACTTCGTGAAGGGGGAGGAACATTGAAATCATTCGAAATCTCTCTTCTACAAAAATCTTTGTTTTTCTGTATCCAGAATTAGCCAACTGAAATTTATTAATTATGCATTTTTTGCTTTAAAGGTGACTGAATTATGTTGTCTTATATTCCGATTAAGGTTTTAATGCCTTTAGTTAGTCTGCATGCAATAGTTTTAGAATTATCAACAATTTAAAAGTTGTTTATATTCTACTAAGCCTAACGGAGCAGCGATTTGTTTACATTTGAAACTTAGCAGAATAGTGAATTAAGTCAGTTTCTGCAACTTCAGAGTCTTTTTGCCGGAGTGGGACGAAAAGTAAACTCTGTTTTGTGGACGAAAAATCTACCTTCTTGTACGCTGGCCGAATTGCTTGGTTTTGCGTAGAAAATGTAATTTTAGTTGTAAAAATTGTATTTTTAACTGTTTTAACCGCATTTGATATTTTGCTTTTCTATATTTTTCCGTTTTAATGAAGATATTTTGAGTTTTTACATTTCGCCTTACCGCGAAGGGATAACTAAATTAATTCAAATGTATCTCTCATGAAATTCGAGGAAATAAATTTAAATGAAATGTAGCAAAAGATGCGTATAATTTAATAAGCCGTACCAGGAAATCATATGTTGCCCACATCAGATTATTTTCATAAATTTCCTGAAAACTCCTATTCTCTTTCTAGCGGGCCCTTTTTTTCTACCCCCTTTTGTTTTCTTTTCTTTCTAGCCTTTTCTTACCCTCAAATGTATATCTTCGAAAAACAAACAAAACAAATACTTTAATTTGCCTATACTTTGAGAATGTCTGTACGTTGAGCACAATCTGTACGCTGCCTATACAGAAAATGTTTATATGCGGAACTTCTGGGTATTATTTACTATTTAAGACATAAATTCAATTACACAGCTCTATTAAAATTATTTGAATGATGACAGTAGCAGAATGCTAGAAGTATGCAAGCACAACTTAAAGCAAAAATCCTATGGCATGTCGTGATAACATATGTGTTGGGCATTTAAACTCGCTTTAAACAGTAGCACCCAAAACATGAATGTGCAGTCTAAAGGTATTCAAATATTCTTATTCATTTAACATTTCAACATTTTTCCGCATGCTGTGGTTGAGTAAACAGGAAGGATGAGTTTCAGGTCAGATGGGAAAAAATAAGAAACCAAAATTTATTAAAACTTTTTATACATATGTAGCCAATAAGCTTTAGACGCAGTTTTGAAATCATTTAGTTTATAATTTTGAAAACAGTGATGATATTTGAATCTGGTGAAAATCTGGAATACTTTAAAACGTTGCCTCTAAAATATAGTAAATAGATATGCGATTTAATTCGAATACATTTGATGCTATTTTATAAAACGATTTTACTATTGCCCAAATGCATGACTACATGCCTCTTTTTTAAACATGCTTCTATAATCAAATCACAATATAAAGTAAAGCTTTGTAACACCTTCACATATATAGGCATTCCTAACATTAGATCCAATGTATATATATGATAATTTGGGCATGACGCAGAGCCCGTTATAGAACGTAACTTTTACATTTTTAATGTGGTTGCAATAAGAAGATAGCAGCAAGCAGCAGTCTAGCTAAGCCGAGGCGCAGAAAGCAAGTGCGTAGTTATTCAATATACAAATTTAATTTAAGGAAAAGGTTTCGGTTCTGAAAATTGTAAATTCTGAATTAGCTACGCCGTCATTGTTATGTAAAACGTCATATGATATGGATTAATCCAGAATTGACGCAGTCTAGGAAAATGTTGTTCTAAGCAATTTCTGTTTTTAGAATAAAGAGGGGAAATGCCCAAATTAAAATTACGAATTAAGAGGTTATTGCTCATATAAATTATAATTATGTTTCAACTGATTTTTATCTTACACATATATACAAGCAAGAAGAATAGTAGTCAAGCCACTATCCTATCAGATACTGAATCCACGTTGCTTTTCATATTCAAAATTTACTTCGAACAATTTTATGGCATAATGATTTTTTAGTGTTTTAGAAATGTTATTCTTTTATTTTATATCAATACCCAATTTAACTTGAGTAAAATTAGACAAATTAACAAGCTTAAACTAGTGTAAAGTTTGCATATAACCGCATCAGTTATAAGAGCGATCAGACATAAATTTTTCTCCTTTTGTAGAAAATTATTTCGTTCTTAAATCACAAAATAATACATCAGGAGAATTAAAAATGAAATGAGAAACTCACTAGCTTTCGAGAATGAAAATATCCTCAATCAAAGAAATATGGCGATCCAAATAGTAAAATGGCGTAAGACTTGAAGGCAGACTATAAAACAACAAAAAGGTTTTCCCAAAGGCAGGTTGATAGCCAAAAAATCTAATTGGAAGAGGAACAAGGCAATGTAAAATTTAATAGCAAAGAATAAAAAAAACTTTGCACAAATTTTTAGTTTTAAATATTAAATTCTTTACTCTTGATGAAGAGTGACCTATGTCTAATCGCTCTCGACATCTATAAAAGCTGTGATATGGCTATATTGCAGTTTTAAAATTTCATATTAATAAATATTTGATTATTCATACTCACTAACATGCTTGTGGACAGACATTTTTACAATCTTTATATATTTCCGAATTCATGGGCTCTGCAAAATAAAAAGATGCATTTTTTCATA